CCCCACCCCACCCACCACTCTGTCCGTTCACTCCCTCTCTCTCTTTCCCCCTCCCGTCCCGTGCTCCCCTCCCGGTTGTCGAGGTGGTGCGCAGGTGCGCATCACGAATGTCACGCAGTTCCCTGGCCTGTCTATGGGAGGAGCTGGCGTAAAGCGCGCCTGGAGCCGTGTGGCGGCGCGCGGCGCACGGCCCGGCCCCGTGCCACTCACTGCAGCGTGCATGGCAAGCGCGCTTCCTGCTTCTCTCCCACCACCTCCACACACACTGCGGCCTCTCGTCTCTTCCCTCTCCGCCGCCGCTCTCCCGCCCGCCGCTCCGCGTGCGCAGAGGTCATGCGTCGCGGGCCCGGCCTTGCGGCGCTTGAGCGCTCGGCGCACTCGACGCAGGCCTACGGCGCCCTCTCCTCCGACCTCTCCTCTGCCTCGCTCGCCGAGCTGCGCGCACAGCTGGCCTCCTTCTCCTCCGCGCTGCGCGACTTTGCCGCTTCGCATCGCGCCGAGATTCTCTCGAGCCACGATGCCTCCTTTCGGCAGTCCTTCCAGCAGATGTGTGCTGCGCTGGGCGTCGACCCGCTCGCCAGCACGTCGCGCGGCGGCGGCGGAGGAGTGTGGGAGGCCTTGGGGCTGGGCGAGTGGACGTATGCGCTGGCGGTGCAGATTGTCGATGTGGCCGTGAGCACGCGGGCACTCAACGGCGGCCTCATCGACATTCACGATCTCTGCGTCGCCGTCACGCGGCTGCGCACGGGCAAGACGCCCGCGACGCAGGCCGAGGCCGGCATCTCGCCCGACGACGTGGCGCGCGCACTCAAGACGCTCAAGCCGCTCGGCGCTGGCTACGAACTCGTCGCGCTGGGCAAGCGCACCTTTGTGCGCACGCTCCCGGCTGCCCTAGATGAGAGCGCAGGAGTGCTGCTGGCGCTCTTGGCGACGCCGCCGACACACATCCCGCGCGACGCAGCCGGACTGCCGTACCTCGACATGCACGCCCTCCTGCCCGCCGTACCGAGCATGCTCAAAGGCGAATGGACCTTCGAGCGTGCCGAACGCGCGCTCGACGAGGTCTGCAATGCCCAGGGTCTCCTCTGGCTCGACGACGGCGCGCCGCAGCGACGCTACTACTCCCTCGCAGCCGTGCATATGGCGCTCGAATGACACGAGACTGCCCTCGAGCTGCGAGTCCGGGGGATGGGTAGATGTGTTGCAGGAGTGGAGAGAAAGAGGACAGATCATGCGGTGGTCGTGCGTGTGTTGAGAGAGGGAGGATGCTGTGGGGGAGACGGCAGACGGGAGGCGCGAGGAGGGTGGGATGGACGATGTGGCGACAGACTACAGCATGGCGCGGCACATCGGACACGTCGATGAGCCCGAGGAGACGACCCACTTGACCAGGCAGCTCGAGTGGTAGCCCTGTGCAAGGCGCGAAGACGTGAGTGTGGGAGGGAGATGCTGCGGCTGTCGTAAGGCGCGAAGCACGACGCACCTTGTGGCACGTCTTGCACTTCTTCGTCGGCAGCGACAGCGAGCCGTCGCCGATGATCGAGTAGCAGATGGCGCCTGCGGGCGAGCAGAGCATGCAGCAGTCAGACTCGGAGCATCTTCGTCTCTCGCCGGCCAGCGCAGCACTCACACTCGGCGTCCTCGTAGCCGGCAAACTTGGCCTCGGCGTTGCGCTTGAAGAGCAGCAGCGCTGCACAAGAGGCGCACGGCGTCAGCACTGCAGAACCGCGCTGGCATCTGGCCATGCTCGTGCTCACCGTCGTAGATCAGGCCGTTCTTGCCCGTGAGGAGCTGCTGCGTAGCCAGCAGCCATGCGCGCCACTGCGCCTCGGTGACGCCGACGCGCTTCACGTCCTTGACCTCGACGCCGTGGAGTGGGAAGTCTGCGGGGATCGAGACTGCAATCTGCATGTCGTGCTCGTCGACGGTATACGTCGCCACGACGTCGTTGCTGGCCGTGATGCGCACGCCCAGCCCTTCGCCCTCGAGTGTCGCCCGCGCCTCGGGCGCCCGCAGATGCGCCAGCTCCGCCGCGGCCAGGAGCGGCGTAAAGTGCCGAGAGGTGAGCTGCGTGATCTGCGTGCTGAGGCTGCGGTTGCGCAGCGACTGCACGTGCTTGCGCACGCCGACGGGCGTGTGCGTCAGGGCACGGTGGTACAGGTGCGCCGCCAGCAGCGGCAGCGCGGCCGAGGATGCAAAGACGACGTCTGCGGATAGCGCACTGTGTCAGCGCACATCCCAAGCGCCAGAGGTCCGCACGGGCAGGCACTCACCGTCCAGGTACACCTCCTCGACCGCCCAGCCGCGCATCTCCAGCGGACTCATCCACTCGAACAGGCCCGGCAGCAGCTCGCTCTCCAGCAGCTCGCGCTTCTCGAGCTGCGCGGCAAAGGCACTGCGCAGCGACAGGCTGGCCTCCTCGAAGTGCTCAAACACCGCCAGCCAGGCGAGGAAGAAGGAGAGCGGCGGCGGCGAGCTCGAGCCGTCCTGGTCGCTTGGCAGTGCCTCCTCGTCGTCGCTCGTGGATACGCGCTCGCCCTTGCTGCGCATGCAGCAGACGCCGATGAGCGCATCGGGGAGCGCAGAGGCGCCGGCGGCCATCTCGGGCTCGAGTGCCGCGTCGAGCACGAGTGCAGCCACGCGCGAGCGGATGCACAGCGAGAGCCGCCGATAGGCCGCAAGCTGCACGCACTGGCGGCGCGACTGCAGCGCCTCGACGAGCGCCGCCTCCTGGCCCTCGAATGCATCGTCGGGCAGTCGGCGGACCAGATGAGAGAGCAGCTGGGCGACGACATCGAACGGCGCGCCCGCCTCGCTCATGTGCTGCAGGAAGAGTGGCGCAAGCAGCGCGCGGATCGGCTTCGAGCGCTCCTTCCACACGAGGCGCAGTGCCTCGGCGTGTGCCGATCGCTCCTCCAGCGCCTCGAGGAGGCGGAGAGCAGCGTGCATGGCGTGTGCATCGCTCCACGCCGCGGCGTCGAGCTGCGCCTCGAGCACGTCGCAGATAAGCTCCAGATGCGAGCCAGGCATGCCCTCGACGATGGGCAGCAGCTCGAGCAGCACCTCGCTGAGCCGCACGTGCAGCTCGTCGCTCAGCTCCACGTCGTCGGCCGCGAGCCACTTCTGCACGTTCTGCAGGAAAAGCAGCGCTCGTTGCGGCGGCACCAGCGCCACCGTTGCATCTGCAGGCGGTGCCGCGGCGACGAGGAGGCGCAGCAGTGGCAGGCCGGCAGATTCGGCCCGCGCTGCAGGCACGCCAGCGAGGTTGGCCACAAGCTCGTTGCGCACGCGGTCGTAGAGCGGCGCAGCAAGCACCGTCGGGCGCACTGTGCGCATCAGCGCTCCGGCCAGCGCCGGCTTTGTCGTCTGGATGACCTGGCCGAGACGCAGCCACGTGCTGCCCGCCGTGGCGCCGGCAGCACTGAAGCTCAGCACGCCAGCGAGCAGACGTGCGAAGACTCGTGCGCCCTGTGCGTGGCCGATGGAGTACGCGACTTGCAGCGAGGAGGCAAGACCCGAGCCGTTGGCGCTGCCCTTCTTGAGCGTCTCTGCGACCTCAGCGTGCCAGGCGTCGGTGACGGCATCGGCGAGCGACGCCACCGCCGTCGTGGCCACGTTGACGGCTGCGACAGCGTGAGCCGCGAGGCTCTGCTCGCTGACCGATGGAGCAAAGAGCGTGGGTGATGCGCCGGGAAGAAGCGTTGCATCCTCGGCGGCGAGGGCCAGGTACACGGCGTGCGCCAATGTCCATGGCGCAGCGCGTGCGAGCGCACGGTCTCGACGGAGCACGTCGACGAGCACAACGAGAGCGCGAGCGTAGGAAGAGAGGCCAGCAGTGTCGTACGGTCCACCCGTCGCGCCTGAGCTGCCGGCGTGCGGCACAAGCGCATCGACGACCGCGAGAGCGGGCGGCGGCGCGTAGGCGCAGGCAGCAGCCAGGCACTCCGCCATGCTCTCTTCGTCGGGCAGGATGGCCAGGCCACCCGCACCAGCCGGCAGGGCCTCGGCAGCACGCAGCAGCGAGCGCAGCGGCGTGTCAAGCTGCGACACGCGCTCGCGCAGCATCGCTGCTGCAGCCTGCGGTGCGCCCTGCTCGTCGGCAAGCGACGCCCATACGCGTGCCGCAGACGTGCCGTACTCGGGCGAGGCGTCGAGATACGCCAGGCCGAAGATTGCCGCCGCCGCACCCTGCAGCGCCGGGTCGGTCACGAGGCGCTGCGTGCGCTCGCGCGACGAGCCCCACGCCTCGAGGAGCGCCAGCACCGTGGCGATATCGGCGCGCGCTCCCGACTTGAGCGCCGTAACGAGCTCGAGCAGCAGCGCATCGGCCGTCTGCCGCGTAACGAACGGCTCGGGACGGTCCAGCAGGCGGCCCAGCACGGCCTGCTCCGACTGCTTGAGCGAGCCGGTCTTGAGCGCCCGGGCCACGAGGGCCAGCACCTCTTGGTCCAGGCGCGTCGAGCCCGTCTCGCCCTCCGAGAGCAGCGCAGCAGGCAGCGAGTCTGCGGCGCCGAAGAGTGCCTGCAGAGCATCGGTGTCGAGACCGCCCTGCGGACTGACAGACTCGAGCGCGCTGATCCAGACGGCACTGCGCTCCGACGCGTCCTGCACCATTGGCAGATATGCGGCGTAGAAGGCAGCAGCGGCCGGAGCGGAGACGCTGCCGCGATGCATCGCAGGCGGCAGCACGTCGCGCGCGGCACGTCCGAGGACCTCGAGCAGATCGACATGTGCATCGGCGAAGCTGCCCATGAGCGCGGCGAGGAGAGAGACGAGCGGTGCAAGCCATGTCTCCTCGGGCGAGGCGCACAGCACATTGGCCGCCGTGCCCGACACGTCCTGCACCAGGTCCGAAACGCGCTGCTCGAGGCCGTTGGGCGCGCCGGCGGTGCCAATCGCGCTGAGGCAGCGCACGGCACGGAAGAGGGCATCGGCGTCTGCATCGGGCTGAGCCAGCTGCTGCAGCGTGGCACGGACGCGCGCGAGGAAGGGAGCCGCGACGGAGCCATCTTCGGCCAGCGAGGCGAGGCGCTTGACAGCAGCAGAGATGGGCTGCGCAGGGTCGAGGGCAGCACGCGCACGCGGCGGCACGAGATCGGCGCCGATGCTGCCGTCGTCGAGCACAAAGGCCTGCCACGGCTTGGCGAGCTGCGCATCTGCCAGCACGCTCGCCTCGTCGGCCTGTGCATCCTCGTTGCGCGCCACGCGGCTGGCGAGAAAGGCGACGCACTCGGCAAAGCTTGCGATGCAGGCGCGGAGTGCCTGCGGGTCCGAGCCGGCACGCGCCTGCAGGCCAGCCCAGTGCGAGTCGAGGATGGCACTCGAGTGCTCGGCTGTGGGCGCCAGCAGCGTCACGGGCAGCGTCGAGAGCAGCACAAGGACCGTCGGGTATGAGAGCGACGGCAGCCCAGCGCATGCAGAGCGCAGCCAGCCTTGGAAGGGGCGCAGCGCGCGTGGCTGGCTGACGCTCCGCACTGCAGCAACGCTCGGAGCCTTCGCCGGCAACGAGCCAGCCTCGTCGTCGTCCGAGTCGGACGCCGCGCTGACCTCGTCCGAGTCGTCGTCAGCCTCGACCTCGTCGGCGACTGCGCTGGGCTCCTCTTCGTCTTCCTCCTCCTCGTCCGACTCATCGTCGTCCTCGCGCATCGTCCACGTCTCCGGCTTGATGCGCAGCAGGGGCAGCAGGGCGTCGAGTGCGGCGCGTGCGCACGTCGCGTCCGTCTCTGCCCAGATTGCACGGATGGCGACGGGCCCGAAGGCCGGCAGTGCGCAGTCCAGGGCAGCGCGCTCGGGCGACGAGACGAGCGCTGCAATGATGGCCCATGCGCGAGCGCGCGCCAGTGGTGCCTCGGCGCCGACAGAGCCAGGCAGCAAGTCGGCCTCCGCTGGCCGAGCGTGCAGACGGCCTGCTGCACTGCTTGCTGCCACCGGCGGCTGCAGGAGATTCCACAGCGCCGAAGACGCCAGGATCTCCTCAAAGTCGTCGAGCGGCAGCGGCGCGGAATGTGAAACTGCAGATGCCGTCAGCACGCACAGCGCACGCGGCGTGCTGTCCAAGACTCACCGATGATCCAGCAGAGCGCACCAGCTGCGCCTGCGGCTAGTCGCCCGTCTGTGGTGCGCACGTCCTCCTCAATGCTTCCATCGTCGCGGTTCTTGGCGTCAAGCGCGCTTGGCGTGCTCGTGCCCGGCGTTCCAGGCGCGCTCGGCTGGCTGGGCCCTGCGGCATGCAGCGCGGCGGCAGGCGACGGGCTGAGCAGGAGCAGCTTGAGGTGTGGCAGCAGCGTGTGCAGCTCGTACCGCACGTCAAGGCGGTCCTCGCCGGCGCCGGACCAGCGCGTCGAGCCGTCGAGCGCCGCCTTTGCGGCACGCGCCACACGCCGGTCCGTGTCGTGTGCCAGCACGGCGAGCGGCGCCAGCGTCGAGAGCACATACGCCGGCACAGTGACGAGCTCGGAGCGCGTGTGTGCCTGCTCGAGCAGCGCGGCATGGATCGAGGCTGCGAGATAGCGCAGCCGCCGCGTGGGCGAGATGGAGAGACGAGGAAAGAGGTGTGCCTGGAGGCACGATGCGTCAGCCTGCGATGCTTCCGCTTTGCCGCTGCCTCCTGCGAGCGGACGGCCTGATCGCACACGGACACCTCTGTGCGGCTCCTGCTACCACGTCTGACGCCGCTTACTCACCCAGCACGTCAGCCAGATGACCTCGGTCTCCTTGCGCTCCTCCTCGCCGAGCGTCTCGCCCTCGAGCTCGGCGCCGGCGACCCAGGCGTGGAGGGCCTCGCAGGCGCGCGTGCGCGTCACGACGTCCTTCTTGCTGGCCTTGCGCGTGAGCACGACGAGCGCCGGCGGCAGGCTGCTGGCGAGGCCGTAGTCGTCGAGCGGGTCGGGCGGCGGCGCGGGCGGCTTGGGCGGCGGCACAAAGACCTTCTTGCGCGGCTCCTTCTTGCTGCGCCGGCCGCCGCCGCCGCTGCCCTTCTGGCCGCGCTGCGGCGGCTTGGGTGCCGCGTCGGGGTCGACGCCGGCCTTTTTGAGCGCGAGCTTGGCGTTCTTCTTGCGCGTGCCCGCCGAGGCGGACGACTTGCCGCCCTTGCTGCCCTTGGCCATGGCGCGGGCGCGGCGGCGGCGGCGGACGAGGAAGCGTGGGCGAGGGCTGTGCGGCGGAGTGAGCCGGCAGCGAGAGAGGCAGAGTTGCAGTGCAGGCCGGGCGGTGTCGTGTGGTGGAGTGGAGGATGGCTCGCGATGCCGCGCCCGAACGATGAGGAAACGCATCAGCCGAGCGGCCGGCGGCCCCTGCGCGCACCTTGCGCCGGATGACGCACACGCCCCGGCTGTTCCCACGCTCCGTGCATAGGTCCTCACGCCTCTTCCTGCCCGCTGCCTCCGCTGCCCTCGCCTCGTCTCAAGCACAGCGCCCAAGTCAGGCACCCATAGCACACGACGTGTCATCGTCGCCGCAGTCTGGCAGAAGGAGAGCTTTGCCCAGAGCCGAGCCGACTGCGGCTGGAGGCTGGAAGGGCCGGCCGTCAAGTCACGCGTGCTTGCGGCGACGCGCCGAGTTTGGCAGGCGTGGGCGTTGCGGCTGGCCGCATGCTGCTCTGTAGCGGCGCTGCATCCCGATCTAGCCAGCTCAGTGCTCGCCCCTGACGCTGGGTGACAGCCTTGCCGCACCGAAAGGGCAAGGTTCCCAGCCTATGCTCCAACTGAAGGCCTTTGCTTGCACGCTGGGTGCCTGCACGCTGGAGCTGCTCCCGAGGCAGTTCAGTTGCACGCTGAGTGAAAGCAGCAGCAGCGTTCAGCGCAGCCCAGATGCAGCGTGCCTCTGCCCTTGCTGCCGAGCTGTCTCTCTACAGCGCTGCCTGCTGCTCGGCGTCGACGACGGCTTCCCTCCTCACCCGCACCACTCTCCAGGCGCAGCAGCCTTTGCTTCAGCTTCGCTCCACGCCCTTATCTCGCTCCGGCAGCCTTCGCCTGCTCCTCCACGGCCCTCGCATCTGACCTCGTGCCACGCCGCACGCCTCTCCTCACTCGCCTCTCCAGTTGCCCAGCTTCCTGTACGTCTTGCCCTCACCGACGAGAGAGCCTTGCAGCGGCGCAATCTGACGTTTCCCACTCGTCAGCTCTGTCCCTCTCTGTTCGCCGCCCCTTCCGCTCTCCGCTCGCCTTCGCCTCTTCTTTTCGGCGCGCTCACAGAGCGGGCAGCCGGCGTCGCACGGGCGCGCACAAGCCCAAGCCAACTCGGTCCGCCCCGCATCTCGACCTGGACCCTGTCCAGCGGGAGCCGCCCGACTTCGGCAACGGCAGCGCTTCGCTTGCCTTGGCATAATCAAGCCTCGTCGCCGTCTTCCGTCCCTGCTGAGCGCTAGCAAGATGGAGGAGGTGGAGAAGATCAAGAGTGAGTGTTGCGGCGTGCCGTCGTCGTCGAGACTCTTGGCTGACCTTGTTTCGCACGCGTAGCCTCCAGCAGCGAGACGAACGTCCGCGACAGCGTGATGAGCGGCCCGAGTGTTCCCGCGCTCGGTGGTGAGGAGCGCATGTCATTGCTTCAGAACGTCTGGCTGACCCGCCCACACGTCAAGTCGCCCGCAACGAGACTGAACTCGCAGAGATGGATGACGAGACTGCTTTGTCGAGCGATGGTGAGAACCAGCGTGGATCGACGCGGCTCAGAAACAATGAGGCTGACCCACTGTTGCAGACGAAGGCACAGTCGTCGGGCCTCGAGACCGCATGAGCGATGGTGAGTCCTGCGCGAGACGTCACCGAGATGCGCGTGCTGAACCTAGCGGCAGACGAGGCCACATCCACGCGCGTGCAGTATCGTTCGCAAGCCCGAGGCTCAAGCGCTGGAGTCGCCGAGGCGCAGGAAGGGGATGCTTCAGTCGAGGAAGCGGCACAGACCGAGGCGCAGCGCGACGACGAGCTTGACGCATGGCTGCGCCGCCTCGGCGCAACGCGCGTGCGTGGCGCGCGCTTCATGCTCGAAGTGTTCAAGGATGACGCAGCGAAGAAGAGCGCATTCGAGATGATGAACGAGAGCGGCGTATCGCTGATCCGGGAGCTGTGCGAGCTCGTCGAGGGTTCTGTGTATCGAGGCGAGCTGGACGCTCCCCGATGGCTCCTGAGTCTGCTGTATAGTCCGACTGGACGCAGCACCGACGGCAGCAAGACTCCTTCTTTCACCCCTGAGACTCGACGCTTCGAGTCCTCCTTGGCCTGGTCACGCAGCACGGACGTCGCGCGTAGGACAGCGCTCGAGGCAGAGTACGCCGCCGCCGACCCAGCTGACTTCGGCACGCACATGCTCCTTCGTCGCTACGTCCTACCGCCGGCCGCTTTCGAACCCGATCGGAAGGCGGCCGCACGGCACGCCCGCCATGTCGCTTTCTACGACGCTCCGTTCCTCGGCGGTGCGCTGGTGAAGATCAAGAGCAAGATCCGCGAGCATGAGGAGTCCATCATCGCGAAGAGCCTGTCTCACCCGGCCGTGCGCTGCTTTCAGCTCTACCAGAGCAGCGGCATGGGCAAGTCGCGGCTGCTGCACGAGCTCTGCGCATCAGCGACAGACAGCGTCAGCGAGCCGATTGTAGGCTTCAACATCAGCCTGGCTCTGCCGACGAGCTCGTCCATGCCTGCCGGAGACGAACTCAAGCTCCTGCGCAGCAAGGTCTCTTTCAAGTCCCGTCCTTGCGACCGACGTGTGTGCCTGCTACTCTTCTTCTGCGCCTTCTTCGAGATCGTCGCGGAGCAATTCGGCAGTCTGGAATCGCTGCAGGCCCGCAGCCGCTTCGCCGAGCTCTCGGAGCGTACGAGCACCGCCGAGATGCTGCCGTCTGAATACGAGGCAGCGCAGAGCAAGCGGAGAGACTTCCTGCGCGCCGTCGATGCGCGCTTCCACGATCTCTGGATGCTTAATGAGTTATTTTCGCCTGAGAAGCTTTACGATGCGCTGCGCAGTGCGACCCGACGGATCATGCTGCCGCCGCGTGCATACTTCGTCCTGGGCCTCGACGAGCTCTCGGCGCTCGTGCCCGGCGCCTCCTCCGCCGAATTCACAGCCCTCATTCTCGACGTGCTACGCGCTTGGTCTCCGGCTGCGGAGCGCATCTGGCTCCTGTTCGCCGATAGCCTTGGCAGTGCTCCGGCGGCGACGCCGGGCTTCGTCTGGTCCAATTTCACTCGTCACGGCGTACGGTCATTCGTCCCGTTCGTCGATTTCCCGCTCCACCCGTCGTTCAGGACATTCGCTGGCGATAGGCCGCTCAGCCAGCGCAGTCTGGCAGAGCTCTCGAGCTTTGAAGTCGCCTGCTCCATCGGCCGTCCTCTGTGGGCCACGCTCCCGCACAGCTCGGCTTCCCTCGACGACTGTCTCCGACTCGCAGAGGCGAAGCTTACGAACGGCGAGCTGATGTTGTGGCCCGGGTCGACTGTCGGCTGGGCACAGATGACGGTGCTACTGTCGCAGCGAGTGGTGCTGCCACAATGGCTGCGGTTCAAAGAAGCCGCCGACAAGATCGAGGAACAGGAGATTCGGCATCACATGCGAGTCGTCTACGACTTCGAACAGGTGTCGGAAGAAGCAGACTATCGCTTCACGTCTGGCTTTCCCGAAGAGCCAATTCTGGCATCTGCGGCACGACGCATCCTCGCCCTCCGTCACCCCGAGTCCGTGGTCTGGGCAGCGGCGTGTGCAACGCTGCGGAGGCTTTGTTGCCACATGGTCTCCATCACCAACGGAGTCGCTCGCGAACTCGCATCACAGATCATCACCAGCATCGCCTACGACCGCGTCCTCGAGCCACGTCGCGACGAGCTGTGCGGCGCTTCCGACCCTGCGGACAAGGGAGCGTGGCAGGAAGATTCGATCATCACCGTGCACGAGTTTGTGTCCTCGCTCCTGGGCCCCGAGGTCGCCTCTCAGCTCGACGACAGGCTGGGCGCCTGCCTCATGCACTTCTCGCGCTGGTTCTCCCTGGACAAGCGCTGTTCGTCGCCGTCGCAGCAGCTGCTCAAAGCGGCGTTCATCACGGGAATTGCTTACAAGGGCGCCGCGGGTCAGGCAGACTGGGATCTTGGTGAGTCCGGCGCTGAACACGACGAGCGCGCTGCATGGCCGGCGCTTGCAGGTCTTCTCCCGCGCCGCATTTGCTCTGGCTTGGACGGCGCAATGCTCCTGGCTGACGCCCTCTCGTCCAGTCATCCCGGCGTGGACAGGCCCGCGACACGGCACCGATCGCCTCTGCGACCACCCGTTCACCGCAATCTACGTGCAGGTCAAGAATCGCGTAAAGGTCAGCCAGCAGATCTGCAGATGGTCTTCCGTTGCTGACTTTCTGCGCAGGGTGGATTTCTGGGCGAAGTCGCCTTTTCGCACGGCCTGAAGCGCAAGCGGTCGGACTCGCCGCACAACGAGGAGCAGCCCGAGGTGCAGCCGCTTCTTCTTTGGATGAACCTGGCTGCGCCTCCGCGTGCTGCGAAGACGGAGATCAGGCCGGAGGAGGGCAATCTGCTCTGCATCGAGTCGCTTAGCGTCAGCACCACGTCGTACCCCTGCCTCTCACACGAAGAAGCAGGCGACATCGGAGCGCTGCTGAGGCCTCGATTGGCGTTCCACCCATCAGACTCGAGGGAGGAGCTGGAGGCCGGAATGTGAAGTCACATTCGAGGGTCATCCCACACGCGGCGCATCGCATTATACCCTGTCCATCTCCCGCCGGCCCCGAGCACCCCTACACCCACTGATCCCCGAGCACACGCAAGAGACGCAGTACAAGCGCCTGAGGGTCCTGTGCCCCTGCACGCTCGAGCCGTGCGCTGCCGAGCGGGTTGGCGGTGCCGACGTGTGCGCTGCGCAGATGCTCGGGTAGCCGCACGGGCACGCTGAGCTGGCGGCTCGTGCCGGCGAGCGCAGGCGGCGGCAGCGGAGCGCCGGCAGGTGGCCGCAGAGCGAGGAGCGCGCAGAGCATGGGGTGCAGCGCAAAGAGATGTGCACGCGGCGACTGCTGCACGAGGTCGCGCAGCGCCGACGAGGCGGCGCTGTCGGGTCGTCGTTCCGCCTCGGCCTGCGCCATGCAGCCCGGCCATAGATGCAGATCGAGCAGCGAGGAGAGAAGGTAGACGAGCTCCTCGTCGCGCAATCGCGGTGCCGCGGCCATGCCTCGCAGCGGCGCGTCGGCCGCGTGTGCCTCGAGACTCGAGCTGCAGCGCCGCAGCAGGATCGGCAGTGCGACGGCCGCGACTCGCTGTCGCGACGGCAGATGATCTGTTGTGCACTGTCAGCAAAGCGCAATCGCCAGGCGCTCACGAGACGCCGACTCACCTGACCACCTGTCGGAGCACATGAGGAAGAGCAGGTCGAGCGTCCAGTACGCATGGTGCTCGCGCGGCGAGGCGACGATGGGCGCGACGCTGCCAGAGAGACGTGCGTCTCGACCCGGCGAGGCATCGGACACGTAGAGCGAGGATGCGCGGGCGAGGGCCTCGCACAGCGACGCAATGAGGCCCGTTGGCACGCACGGCCCGCCAAGGAAAGGCAGGATGTCCTGCTCCAGCGTTGCGAGGAGGACAAGATCAAAGACCTCGTCGCGGTCGGCCGCCTCGCTGCCGGGCGCGGGCCCGAGCGAGCTGAGCCAGCATGTCAGCGCACAGCAAGTAGCGCCTGACGAGGGACTCACTTGTCGGCACCCAGCGCCGCCTCGAACACTGCTACGATCTGTCTCCAGAGCGCGTGCACGTGCTCGTCCGGCAGCTCGTCGCCGTGCTGCTGCAGAGCCAGACAGCAGCTGCGGGCAATCTTGCAGAACGTCAAGGCCGCGCTCTGCCACAGCGGACGCGGCGGCTCCTTGGCGTGCCGACTGGCCGCCGGGCAGTCGTACTTGAGCTTGATCGGCAACATCAGGCTGACGAACACGGCGTCGAGCGCACCGGAGGTGTAGACGTCGACGGAGCCCTTGAAGGCCTCGAAGCGCTCGAGCGCATCCTGTGCAGAGGCCCGGTGGAGCGCCACGTAGGTGGGCTGGCGGCGCTGCATGCCCGGCGCATGCTCGGCCGGTGCCACGGTAAACGCCAGCGTGGAGAACTCGGCCAGATCGGTCAGCAGGCGGCTGCGCAGCTCCACAGGCACGCGCATCGACTTGAGGAATCCGCGCACGGCTGCTTGCACCGGCGTGAGTGCGTCGACGTCGGGCGGCTGATCGGCGCTGCGAGAGTATGTGACGCAGGCCTTCAGGCACGAGAGCATGGCGTCGAGGCGCGCAGACTCCAATTCGTCGGCAAGGCGCGCGTACACGACCTGCACCGTCTGCACGTAGGCCAGCAGGTTGGCCTGCGTCAGAGAGGCGTCGGCAGCGGGAAGCGCTTGGCCGACGTCGGTCAAGACGCGCCAGAGGGCATCCCACGCAGCTTGCAGCGCGCCCCCTGCGTCGACGCTGGCGATGCCATGTAGCGCGAGCATGGCAGCTTGCGGCACCGGCGCTGCGCTCTCGAGGAAGGCCCGCTGCGCGCGCTGCAGCAGCTCCTGCCAGCGCGCCTCGAAGGAGTCCGCCACGCTGATCTTGTCGCCAAGATACTGCGCCACGATCCTGCCGACGTTGGTCCAGGCCAGCACGCGGCTCTCGTTCCACTGCTTGGCGGCGCTCTGCGGCGTACCTAGCGTGGCTGCCAGCTGGTCCTGCTGTTCTGCGGCCGGCGTCTGCGTAGCAGCTGCACGGGCGGCCTCGTCGAGCGCGCTGAGCAGCGCAAAGATGATGTCTGGCAGAACGACGGTGCTCCACGTGCGGACATCCAGCGTGCTGCCGTACTGCTCCAGCACGCGGAACAGATTCGAGATGGCGCCATTGCGAACCTCGGCGCGGCTGTCCGCGGAGACGCTCTGCAGCGAGCGCAGCAGATGCGTCCAGAGCGGCGCGAGAGCATCGGCACCCTGGTCCGTGCGACTTGAGAGCTCCGCGCTGATGGTCCAGAGCGTGCCGTTTGCCGTGAGCGCGACGTTGATGTCTTCCGTCTGCTTGCTGAAGGACGTCAGCGTCGACGCGCACAGCTCGAGCTGTGCGAGCGTGAGCGACGAGAGCAGGTCGGAGCAGACGAGCTGCAGGCTGGCAAAGCCGGCCTTGATCAAGGGCATGGAGCCGCGCGAGCTGGTGACGCTGCCGGCAGCAGCAGCGGTGCCCTCTTCCGGCTCGGAGGTCGTGCCAGCGCACGCCGCGGAGCAAGCGTGGAAGATTGTCTCCCAGCCCGTCGTCAACTCGTGCCCGTGTGCCTCGAGGATGCGCAGCAGTGCCTCGAGTGCAAGCTTGCGCACCTCGAGATCAGTCGAGCCAGCACGGTGCGGCTGCAGCACGGCTTGCTTCGCCAGAGCGTGCAGGACCTGCTTCTGCAACCGTGCCGCGTCCAGCTCCGCGTCGCGGACGCCCATGCAGGCGAGCAGGAAGCTGTCGAGGGCTTCGGAGGCTTGCACGCGCAGGACTGCTCGCACGACGTTGTCGGAGAACACGTCCACGAGCTGGCTCACGACGATGTTCCAGCCGCATGCGGGCTCTGCGACGGCCAGACGCGCGACGTTGAGCATCGCAACGAGCTCGAGACTCGTGATGGCGAAGCTGCGCTGCGTCGAGGCAAAGCGTGCCAGAGGCGCAGCGGCAGACGCCGAGTTGCGTCGCCGCGGAGGCTGGTCCGCCGGACTCGCGCCAGTGACGTCGGCGACGAGCGCCACGAGCGCCTGCAGGAAGCCTGTCAAGGCGCCCTGGTCCAGCGCGCCCGTGTTCTCAAAGACGCGCGCGATGTCCGAGAGCAGTGTCTCGGTGTCGAGGCCGCTCATCGCTGCGGGCTTCTTGGTGCGGGCATCGAGCGCCGAGCCGGACTGGAAGCCGGCAGCAATCGTCGAGAGCGAGGCGAACGAGGCCATCGATGCACGCGGGCTGTACGCGCCCTCCTCGGGCCCTTCGCTGCTGGCCGCGCCTTTGCGCCGGCGCGAGCCCGTCAGGCGCAGCACGTACTCGGCCTCGCACAGCGTCTCGAGGATGTCGCGCCAGGCCAGGCTGCCCGAGAGGTAGTATGAGATGTGCGTGATGGCCTTGAGGCACGCGGCGTTGCGCTCGCTCAGCGCCACAAAGTTGGCGCTGCTGCTGTCGTCCTCGCGGCTCGCTCGGCGCGCCTCCTCGAGGCGGTTGAGTACGGTGCGCGGCACAGCAAAGCGCGCCAGCGAGGCGATCAACGCATCCCGCGGCGCCGTGAGGCTGAGCACGCCCGTGGTGTTGGTGAAGTTGCGCAGCGCCACCAGCACCTCGCTGAAGAGCACATCGTCGCACTTGGCCGAGAGGAAGAATGTGAAGCTCGCGAGCAGCAGCGGCCAGGCCTGCTGAATCATGCTGCGCAGCAGCAGGAGCTCGTCGCGCTGTGGCCCGTCGTATGTGTCGAGATCGAGGGCGGGCGGCGCGCGCCCGGCCAGACGCGGCGACGCGTTGATGTATGAGCTGTACGCTGGCAGCACGAATGACGCAATCGACTGCGACAGATGCGTGAGGCTCTGCAGCGCCAGCAGGTAGATGTACGTGGGCGGCGGCGACGGCGCCTCGATCTTGTCGAGCTGGTCGAGCAGCTGAACGCCCGGCACACTCGTCTGGCTCAGGCCAGCGCCCGTCTCGGACGCGCCAGCCAGCACCCCGCGCGCCGCCTGGTAGAAGCCAGATCGTGCGGGCTGTGTCTTGTCCACGCTTGCGCGCGAGCCGGGCGCCTCAGGCCCGCTCATCTGCTCAGCGGCGTCGGCGCGGCCAATGATGCCGGCATTCTCGATGGAGAGGCGGTGCAGGGCATCGACGAGGCCTGTGAAGACGGAGGCTGAATTGTCGCTGCCGTCGTACCAGCGCCAGAAATTGCGCAGTAGCGCGCCGTCCTGACACAGGCTGCGTGCCACCTCCATGGCCAGCACGCGCTGCCATGGCGGCGTCGGATGCTGCCCCTCGGCCGTCTCGCTTGAAGCAGGCGGCGCAAGCAGGCGCAGCAGGATGCTCATCAGGATCTCGACTTCGACGCGCAGCTTGGCGCTGAAGTGCCGCAGCAGCACGAAGAGGAGGCGCATGAGGCGCAGTGTCGTCGGAAACACGGCGGGCTCGCTGAGTGAGCGGATGAGGAGCGGACATGTCGACTGTCGCAGGCATAGGAGCAGCTCCGGATGCGTCGCGGGCCGAAACAGCGACGCATGGTTCGTCAGGATGGACTCGATGAGCTCGAGCGCAAAGGTACGCGGCAGCGAGGCGAGCGCGAGGAACGAAGCGCCCTTGCCGCTGGCCAGCGAGTTGAGGTCGTCGATGACCGAGTACGCATCGCGCGAGCAAGGAAAGAGCGTCACGTCCTCGGCGCCCGGCACCTCGATGGTCATGCATGCCAGCGGCGCAGCAGCAGCCGCTGTGCTATCGGGCGTGAGCAGCAACGCAGATGCCGGCAGCGTCGAGCAGACTGACCATCTTCATCGCCTCCCTTCAGTGCCGCCAAGACGGCATCCTCGTCTCGCACCTTGTCAAACACCGTCATGACGGCCTGCCGCAGCGTTGCCGCGGCAGTTGAGCTGACGACGGCCACCTTGCTCTCCTGCAGGCGGAAGCAGACGAGCAGGATGCGCGAGAGCAGCTCGCCGTGGATGCTGGCGTGCGCCGCAAGCAGCGCAGACACACACTGCAGCAGCTTCAGATGGATCTCAATGTCGCTGCGCGACTGTGCCAGGCCGGTGATCATCTCGGAGAGCTCGGGCAGCGCAGCCTGCACGAGGTGGGCAGTCAGCAGCCACCCTCCCACACGAAGGCGAGGCGAAGCAAGTCTGACGCGAATGCATGCGGCCGATGGTGCCACCCAGTGCGCAGCCCGCTGGATTGCTGCAGCCAGAGACAGCGAACGGACCGAGCACTCACCTCGGGCACAATGCGCATGCCGAGCATGCGCTGCAACAGGCCCAGTGCAATGCCCACGCTCTTCGGCTGGCCCTTTCCCTGGCAGACCAGCAGAATGGGCCGAAGCAGCACCACATCGCCGGCGGGCGTGCCTGCCTTTGCCGAGCGTGTGGCTGTGAGCAGCGCCTGCTCGTCGGCCCGCAGCGCCGCCAGGGCAGCATCGGCGGCGGCACGCACGTCGGGCTGCTTGCGCTTCGTCTCGGAGGAGAGCTGCGCCAGCTCGGAGAGCAGGAGCTGCGACATGCTGCCGACGTCCGACCGGCAAGCGATCTAGACGCGCAAGCGTGGCTGCCCGCGCGGCGCGCAGCACGAGATCGTGGGCGCCAGCCTCGCCTGACGCCGCGGCGAGCAACGTCGAAGTGCAACCAGCTGGAGCTAGGCGGAAGAAGTGCCGCACGCGCCAGTGAGCGGTCTAAGCAGATGCCGATGGCGGTCGATGTGCCGCACAGGTCGAGATGAATGAGCGTCGGCGGCGAATAATCGTGAGTGGAGGTGGTGAGAAGCAAGGATGCGGCAAAGGAGCGAGTCGGGGAGTGTGCATCTCGCGCTGTTCCCACGCTGCCTCGCTGGCGCGGCCTGTGCGCGGCGGCGCCCCTCTGCCAAAGATCAGGACCTCGCCCCTTGCCTCTGCCGTCGAGGTGTTGCCGCACCTTTGTTCTCAAAATCTTATCGAGGCAATAGAGAAGCTGCTGAGCGATGATTCGATCGGGGGTGCGGCAGAGCGTGAACGTGAGGCACTGGTCGTGGCCCTTCGAACGGCCAGAGTCGTCGCGCGTGAACTCAACACCGTATCTGGTCCGGGGCAGGCAGAGGATTGCGCCTCTGCACGCTGTACTGGTTTGCACAGAGCTCAAGCAGAGAGAAGCGCTCGAGGCAGCGAATGCGCTATGGTGGTGCGACGTCGAGGCTACGCAGTTGCCCGCTGCCTCTGCTCTGGCGCAGTCGGAGTCTGAGTCGAGTGCGGCGGCGTGCCCTGCGGCCTGCTCGCTGCAGCCGCCGGCTTTCAGGCGAGGCGGCACGGCGCCGTGCACGTCATGCGCGTTCTTCCCCGCAGGCGCCCCTGCCTCACCTCCACCACCCCCCTGCCTCGCACATCCGCCACCATGTCGTCCAGCAGCGCGACGTACGACGGCTACAAGCTCTACATCTCGCCCGGTACGTGCTGCTGCTGCTGCTGCGCGCTGCATGCTCGTGCTGCACTGTGCTCGCGACAGCCAGCCTCTGTGCCGGGCCCCCACCACCTCCACTCACGCCTCACTCTCCCTCACGCGCAGAGAGCTACCTGTTCGAGCCGACGAGCGCGGGCGAGAAGCAGCAGATCCTCAAGATTGAGCGCGAGGAGGATGGCGCCATCAGCGTGCTCGGTGAGTGCATCGGCGGGCGCACTGCTGGGGCCAGGGATGGGGACGTGCGGCGGGCGTCCGTGCGCAGGGTTGCGAGAGTATCGGCCACGCCGGCCTGCTTCATACGCCAGCGAGAAGGCAGCCAAGCGCAGCACTGCCGCCTCAGCCGCTTGACGGGACGTATGCCTCGTGCATGGCCGCCCTCATCTGCCCGTCGTGCTGACAGCTCTCGGCGCGCGCAGACAAGCTGCCGGTGCTGACGCAGCGCGAGAAGATCATCAATGTCTACGGTGAGTGGGCGTGCTGCGCCTCGCGGCAGCACACAGCTGACAGCGAGCACACGCAGGCATCATCGGCCAGATCACGCTGCACACGTCGCCCTACCTCGTGCTCATCACTGCACGCAAGCAAGTCGGCGAGCTCGGCGGCCATGCGCTGTGGATGGCGACCGACTTCCGCGTCTGTCCCATTCCGCGCGACAGCAAGCCCTCGGTGCTGGAAGAGCCCGTGGAGCGCATGCTGCTCGGCCTGCTCAAGACGCACCTCTACTCGGCGCCGTTCTACTTTAGCTACGGCTGGGACCTGACAAGCAGCATGCAGCGGCAGCAGGGCCAGAAGAAGGAGGCGCCGCTGTGGGAGCGCGTGAGTGGTGCTGCTCTGTGGTGCTGCGTTGCAAAACTGAGGCGCTGTCCCCTGCCAGGCCGACGAGCGCTTCTTCTGGAACCGCTACCTGTCGGAGCGCTTCATCAAGGAGACACAGTCCGGCGCCGACCTCTCGCGCTTCATCCAGCCGATCATCTTTGGCTTCCTCGAGCTGAAGCAGTGCCGCATCAACGGCACGGGCTTCACGTTCGGCCTCGTTGCGCGCCGCTCGCGGCACCGTGCCGGCACGCGCTACTTTTCGCGCGGCGTCGACAAGAACGGCGAGGTGAGCAACTTCAACGAGAGCGAGCAGTTTGTCGTCGCGGGCCAGGGCAGCGAGGAGCACCGCTGCGCATATCTCCAGACGCGCGGCAGCGTGCCGGTGTTCTGGGCCGAGGTCAACAACCTGCGCTACAAGCCCGACCTGCTGATCATGGACAAGCACGAGACGGTGAGTGGGCGAAGGGGCGGATGCGACGCTGGAGCTGAGAGAGGCTTGTCCTGCACCAGGCCGAGGCGACGGCGCTGCACTTTGAGAAGCAGGTGGCGGCGTACGGCGAGGTGTACCTCGTCAACCTGGTCAACCAGAAGGGCTACGAGAAGCCCGTCAAGGACGCGTACGAGCGTGCCGTCGAGGAGCTGGGCAACGCGCACGTGCACTACACGTACTACGACTTCCACCACGAGTGCAAGGGCATGAAGTTCGAGAAGGTCATGCAGCTCGTCGAGCGCCTCGAGGGCAAGGGCCTGCGCATTGATGAGTGAGTGAGCGGCAGGGGGGCGCCGTGCCGCGCCATGGCTCACATTTCCGCAGCTACTTTGAGGACAGCGGCCGCGATGCCAAGCGGACGCAGGGCGCCGTCGTGCGCACCAACTGCATGGACTGCCTCGGTGAGACGTGCGGATGCGCCAGGCAGTGCAGCGCCTGACACCCTCGCAGACCGCACAAACGTCGTGCAGAGCACGCTCGGCCGCTGGATCCTCAACGACCAGCTGCGCGTGCTCGGCATCCTCGCCGACGGCGAGCGGCTCGAGGACCACAAGGACTTCTGGCACGTCTTCCGCAACGGTGAGCTGCGATGTGCTGCCTGGCGCGATGCAAGGCTGACGCCACGCAGTCTGGGCCGACCACGCCGACGTCGTCAGCAAGGCGTACTCGGGCACGGGCGCGCTCAAGACTGACTTTACTCGGTGAGGCAAGCCCCTGCACGGCGAGGCTTCAAACGCGCTGACACGCAGGCGGCCAGCACGGGCAAGCGCTCCAAGGAGGGCGCGCTGCAGGACGGCGTCAACTCCATCACGCGCTACGTGCGCAACAACTTCTTCGACGGCAGCCGGCAGGACGCCTACGACCTCTTCACCGGCGCCTGGACGCCGCGCAAGGGCGTGGCGGGCGACAAGCGGGCGCTCCTCGTGCGCGCTGTAAGTTGCCTTGGGTGCAAGCGAATGTCCAGATGCTGACGCCTGCGCAGATGCCGTACGTGCTGCTGCTCTCCGTGCTTGTTGTGCTGTTTGGCCTGCTGGCGCCGCTGGGCGACTCTGGTGAGCGCACTGAGCTACAGCCGCGATCGCAGCACTGACATGCGCGTCGCAGACTCGAGCCGTCGCGCCCTCACGGCCACCGCCGTCGTCGTCGCCGCGACGTCCTTCTACTTCATCACCGAGCGCGGCCTCGAGTACGTCGCCTGGCCCACGCTCAACCGGCCCGAGGAGACGATGTACTACGACGGCCCGGGCTACTCCTCGGGCCGCCATGGCCGCGCCGCCGTGCCCGGACACTACGACCGGCGCAACACGAGCAAGGCGAGCACGAAGCCCAAGGACGTCGCCGCGCTCAACAAGAAGGAGGGGCGCCGTGGCTACTGAGCGTCGCGGCCTGCGGATCTTGCACCTGTCGCTGCACCCACCCATCCCCGCAGCTGTGAATAGATCTCTTGAAGCATGCCGTGGAACGCCGCACCGCCAAGCACGCGCGTTGCCCGCCGGCGCGGTGCGGCCGAGAAGCGCCGCTCGCGCGCGTGGGGTCGGAAGAACCTGCGCCCGCCGGCCGGCATCCCCCGATCGGAGACGCGCGCCGCCTCATCCGAGGCTGCTGCTGCTGCCGTGCTGCACACGCGCGCCAGCATGCAGACGAGTGACTTAAGTTGAGGCAGCTCTCTCCAAGTTCCTCTTTCCCAACCACACCCACAGCTCCTCCACCATGTATCGTGCAATCGCCTCGACTTCTGCGCTCCCGCGCGCGCGCATCTATGCGCCGCTCTCTGTACGCATGCTCTCTGTGTCGGCCGCACGCAGCCAGGCGGTCGACAAGGTGGTCGGCTCAGCGCTTGAGGCCGTCAAGGACATCGCCGCCGGCTCGACGGTGCTCTCGTCGGGCTTCGGCCTCTGCGGCACGCCCGACACGCTCATCGATGCCATCTCCAAGACGCCCAACATCAAGGACCTCACCTGCGTGTCCAACAACGCCGGCGTGGGCGACCGCGGCCTCGGTGAGTCGAGAGGAGGCGTGCCGCGGAAGGCGCGCTGTGCGCGGTGTGCTGGCCAGTGCCGGCCTCGAAACCCCGGTGTGCGAGGCCGGCAGAAACGCAGCTCGCGGCACGCAGCAGCACAGTACCAGCTGCGCCAGGCCAGCTGCACCCTTCAGCGCGCCACAGGGTCGCCGTGCCGACGTCTCGACGCCGTGCTGACGCCTCCCGCACCCAGGCAAGCTGCTGGGCACGGGCCAGATCGGCGCGATGATCTCGTCGTTCATCGGCTCCAACAAGACGTTCGAGCAGGCGTACCTTACCGGCAAGGTCGGCCTGCAGCTCACGCCGCAGGGCACGATGGTGGAGCGCTGCCGCGCCGGCGCCTTTGGCATCCCGGCGTTCTACACGCCCACCGGCTACGGCACCGCCGTGCAGACGGGCGAGCTCGTGTCGCGCTACGAGCGGCGCGAGGAGGGCGACACGAGCGCGCCGAAGCCCAAGGAGTACGCCAAGCCGCGCGAGAGCCGCGAGTTCAACGGCAAGGGCTACATCCTCGAGGAGGCCATCCACGCCGACGTCGCGCTCGTGCACGTCTGGAAGGCCGACCGCATGGGCAACTGCATGTTCCGGTGAGTCGAAGCTTGCGTCCTGGCGAGAAGCTCGAGGCTGATCTGTTCCTAGCTACACGGCCGCCAACTTCGGCGCTGCATTCGCCAAGAACGCCAAGATGACGATCGTCGAGGTGCGCTTCCTGTGCCAGCCTCACCTGCTGCACATGCTAACGCTCCCTGACAGGCCGAGGAGATCGTCGAGACGGGCTCGCTCGACCCCAACACAATCCACCTGCCCTCGATCTTCGTGAACCGCATCGTGCAGGCGACGAAGCCCAAGGACATCGAGGTCGTCACGCTCTCGGAGCCGGCGTCGGAGAAGAAGGACGCCGCGGCGGCGCCCAAGGAGAAGTCGGACGCGCGCATGCGCCGCGAGCGCATCGTCTCGCGCGCCGCCAAGGAGTTGCAGCACGGCGACTATGTGAACCTGGGTGTGGGCATGCCGTCGCTTGTGCCGTCGTTCCTGCCCAAGGGCGTCGACGTGGTGCTGCACTCGGAGAACGGCATCCTCGGCATGGGCCCCTACCCGACCAAGGAGCAGCTCGACTCCGACCTCGTCAACGCCGGCAAGGAGACGGTCACGCTCCTCCCCGGCGGCTCGACGTTCGAGTCGAGCGAGTCCTTCGGCATGATCCGCGGCGGCCACGTCGACGTGACGATGCTCGGCGCGCTGCAGGTCGGCGCCAACGGCGACCTGGCAAACTACATGATTCCCGGCAAGCTGGTCAAGGTGCGCATGCCTCTCCTTCTCGCCTCGCCTTGTTGCTGACACTCCCTCACGCAGGGCATGGGCGGCGCCATGGACCTCGTCTCGTCGCCTGACCACACCAAGGTCGTCGTGCTGACGGACCACGTCGACAAGAACGGCCGCTCCAAGATCGTCCAGGAGACCAAGCTGCCCCTGACTGGCTCGCGCTGCTGCAGCCGCATCATCACCGACCTCTGCGTGTTCGATGTCGACCGCAAGAAGGGCGAGCTGACGCTCATTGAGCTGGTGCGTGGCCTGCTCCGCTTCAGACGTGCGATCTGCGCTGTGCTGACTCCTCCGCTCTTGCTGCAGATGGAGGGCGTGACGCTCGACGAGGTCAAGCAAAAGACCGACGCTACCTTCCACGTCGGTCCCGGCGTGCAGCAGTAGGCCTGCAGCGCCGCGAGTCCCGCAGGCGTAGACTGGAGGGAGAGGGGTTGTGCTAGCCAATGCATTTTCGTCACGAGTACACGCTGCGATGTGATGCGATGCAGTGCGAGATGCGCGTGGCCTTGCGATGCTGAGCCCTACCGCGCATGCTTGGGCAGAGGAAGCAGCACGCTGCCGAGCTTCTCATCCCATTCCCCTCCCATGCGCTCACTCGCGCGTTTCAACTCCAACCATCCCTCCGTACCCGACACGTAGTGCACGCCGAGCGAGCGTACGGCAGTCTCTTCGATGCGCGCTGCCAGATGGGCAGAGAGCATGCCGCGCAGCAGCATCAGCGAGAGCTCCTGCCCGCCCACGACGTCGAGCGGATGAGGGGCTTCGAGCTGCGCCAATGTGGAGGCCCGCACGTCTGGCGACGCGAACGAGAGGAGCCAGAGCACGTGGCGGCGACGAATGGACCGCGCGGCTCGTGTGCGCCAGCCTCCGGCTTGAGCCGTCGAAGAGGAAGAGAAGTAGCTCGCAAGGCTCGGGCCTGAGCGACTCCATCGGCGAGCAGTGTCAGCGCCGAGCTGCTCGGCGAGCGCAGGCGGCAACAGCAGCACGTCGGCAAAGAACACGGGCGAGAGGCTGTGGATGGCCGTCGAGCCTGCCTCTGCTCGTCGAGGCGCCACGTCGATGCTGCGCGCCAACGGATCGGGCGAGCTCAATTTAAAGCCCACACCGTCGTCTTCCGCTGCTCGCAGCTTCGCAAACGCCTCCAAGCGCGCTCGAGCCGCCTCGTCAAAGTCGCTGAGGAGCTGCCAGCCCACGGCTCCACGTTCAGGCGCTCTGCCAGCCCGTGCAGCCTGTACGTCGTTCGGCACGCTCTCGCTGCCGCCCGGAGCGCGTGGATCCGGACGCGGAAAGACGGAGAGTCGCTTCTTGAAGTGCAGCGTGGCTGCCTCTTTGAGGATGCGGGCCAGTGGCAGTAGCAGATCAAACGGCTGCCGTGCCAGCGACGAGAGAAGACTGCGCGTCGTCAGGGGTGACACGACCGTCGAGGTGAGCGACGCAAAGAGCTTCTTGCGCAGCGGCGCGTCGGGCGAAGCATCATCTGCCGGCGCGACGAGTAGCAAGAGACGCACGTCGATATGCGGCGTCGCTGCGTCATCTGCCCACAAAGGGCGCAGGAGCAGGCGATACCAGCCGCCACGGTCGTTGAACGGGCTGACGTGAAAGGCACGTTCGAACGTCCACGCGTGTTCGAAGTGTCCTCGATGTCGCGAAGCGCCGCTCTTGAGTGCATCTTCCTCCACGCCCGCCTCGAGAACGTAGACGTGTCGCTCTGCAAACGTGTTATGCACCTCGAGCACGGCCAGCCAGAATGCGCCGCGCTCGCCGGGAGTAGGCGAGGGTCGATGGACGTAGTAGATGGTGAGAGGATTGATGCCTTGCATGCCGAGCAATGCGGGCATGCACACCATCCACGTCTCGCCCAGGCCAGCGGACCACTCGGCGTAGGAAACACCGTCTTGAGGTCCAGCCAGGAGATAACCTCGCTCTCGCAGCTCGTACGCCAGCTTGGCGCGAATGGAGCCTTCGACGAGAGTGCGCGAGGAAGAAGGCAGCTGCGGCAATGCGAGATGCAGATGCGATCGAGGCTGAATGCCCGTCAGAAAGGGCCAGCGAGTCGCGGCAGCCGCACCGCGCGGGCGCACGCCCCGCCAGACAAAGGCAGAGGCGGCATCGCACAGGCCACGCTCGAGCGCTGCCAGGTCGAAGAGGCCGTAGAGCGCCGGATAGGCGAATGCATGCGGCGCGGGGATGAAGCGTGCATGTGCAACGCGTGCCGAGGAGAGATAGGCGCTCGCTGGTGTCGCCGCAGTGACTCGTGTGTGGCGAGCTCCCTTGCGGCGAGGCAGCAGCGAGAGGAGAGAGGGCACGGAGAGGAGCAGCAGCAGCGCTGGCACGGCAACATCGAGCGCGAGCGTGCGCAGCCAACTCGAGGTGTGCGCCGCGGCAGCTGCTGCGCCAACGCTGGCGGTGCCGTTGCCCATGGCGCCGACGCAGCTGTGCGGCAGACGACTCCGCGGTGCAAACGATCCGTCACCTCAGCTCTGTACTCAAGGCAATGCAAGGCGTTGACAGGCCAAGCGACGCCGAGCACCTCGCCTCGCGACACGCCGCTGCGCCGGCGCTACCTCCACTCTGACTCGCGAGCTTCAGAGACGTGGAGCGGCAGCGGGAACGTGGCTTGTGTGCCAGGCGGACGATACGGCGGACGATGCGTGGCGGCTGCGGCAGCGGGTGCTGAGCGCTGCGATGGAGCTGAGTGTGGGGTGTGAGGGCTAGAAGAAGAGAGCGGTGAAGGAGATGCGCCACGGCTGAGGCAGCAGCAGCAGCCGACGCTCGAGCCACCTCTTCCCGCGGCAACAGAACGCGCGCCGAGCCAGGGGCTCGCTTCTCGCCGCCTCCCACCACCATCCCCGCCGGCGGCTGCAGCGTCAGCAATGAGTCTGCCCTCCAGCAGTCGCCTCTCCGCCTCGCCTCCGCGCGGCGGCGTGGCCGCCTCGCTGCCCGTCGTCTCTCCGCTCTCACACGCCGCAGCCTCGGGCGCAGGCACCGACTTCTCGCCGCCCGCACGCAGCCAGAGCCGCAGCGGCGGCGCGCCTCGGCGCAGCTCCAGCGAGGAGCGCCCGGCCGCCGCCGCAGCAGCGACGGCGTCTGCACCGAGCTCGAGCTCGCCGCACTATGCGCATCCACCTGCCCACTGTGCATTCGTCCTCGTCGCCGAGTTCGACATCGACAAGGGCAGCACGCTGTCGCATCAGTATCCGGCGCCCATTGGGCAGGATGAGTAGTGAGTGCATGCAGCCGACACGGCGGGAGCGAGGCTGCGAGACCCAGATGACCGACAGGCGTCTCTCCCGCACAGCATGCTCGCAGAGCTCATGCTGCCCGACGGCGCACATGCGCGTGCTGAGGACTGGACGACCTTCTTCCTCAAGCATCCGCCTACTGCACGTGTGGCAGAGGCGCAGGAAGAGGTGGCAGCGCAGAGCGAAGGCGGAGAGGCGGGAGGCAGCGCACCGAGCATCACGCATGTGCTCAACCTCGTGCGCACAAAGCACGACAACTCTGTGCGACGGTGAGTGCGCGGAAGGACACGGCCTGTGCACGGTGTCGCGCGAGAGTGCATCAGGCGTCGGCGCATCTCGCAGGGCTGCTTGACTGACTGGCATGCCGATGCAGAGGCGCACTGGTCAAGGCCATGGCCATCGGCACGACACATCCGTTCATTCATGTTTTCAAGGTAAGCGCTCTGCTTGGCCTGCACGCTCTCGCCTCTGAACTCCGTCCTGGCAGCCCGTGCTTCTTCTAGCGCTAGACGACTTCTTCACCACAGGCGGTACAGCGCCTCTACAGCGTCTCTACGAAGCACTTAACAGCATGGACCTCAGCGGCATGCCGCAGCTCTCGCGCGACGAAAAGTTCATCTTGCGTGCAAGCGAGCAGCGCGACTTGTTCCGCGAGCGCTTTGGCAGCGGTGGCCTCGAGAGGCAACGCAGTCGCAATGGCTCGGATGACATCAGCGCTTCGATGCACAAGTCGCTGCGGCCCAGACCGAGCAGCAACAGTATTGCTGTCTCGCTGGGCGACGATCCGCCAGAGCGGATGGGAGCAAGTAGCAGCGCGAGCCACAATGACGAGCGTGCCTCGTCTCCACCGCCAGCGAGTATGCCTCAGCCCCTTCGTCGGCCAAGCGGTGCCTCCATGCGCGCCAGTTCGCCAGCTCTGTCAGAGCGGAGACCGCCCCTGCTGGCCACTGCATTGGGCGTCGATGGCACACGGCAGCGAAGACCGTCTGCCGGCGCTTCTTCGTTGCTGTCGGGCGTCGGGGTGCAGCAAGGAGGCATGCAGGATACACACTGGTATGAGACGAGCGTTGTGTACCAGGGCAAGATGGTACGGCTGCGCATTCCTGTCGCCACATTTGCCGAGGAGGTTGGCGAGGTGAGTCTGCCGTCTGCTGCGATCCGCTGTCATGCTCATCCGTCTGGCGCAGTACTCGCTCGTGGCTCTGCACTCCTCGTTTGGCAATTCGACCCCTGTCGGGCCTCAGCATGCGCATCTCCACTCCAACGGCGCCTTGACGCCCTCTCTCATCTTGCTCTTCAACGCAATCATGACGTCCAAGCGCGTCATTTTCCTCGGCCACGGACAGCCCGCCCACACTGTCGCAAGCCACGTACTTGCAGCCTGCGCATTGGCGAGCGGAGGAGGTGCAGTCTTCAGAGGCCTGATCAGGCGAGCTTTCCCGTACTGCAATCTGGGGATGATGGATGAGTTGGAGCGCACGTGAGCTGCAGCAGGCCGCCCAAGCGAAGCAGGAGGCGACCCACTGACGTTCGCCTGCCCTCACACAGTCCAGGCTACATTGCAGGCGTGACGAATCCGCGATTCGAAGAGCTGCACGCCTGGGATGTGCTCTTCAACATCGAGACGGGCAAGGTCAGCGTTGCGAAGGACATCGAAGCGCCGCCTCCCCTTCGACCAAACACACGTCCTTCTGCCGCATCCCGACACGGCACATTCTCGAGTGGCAGCATCGCGAGCATGTCGGGCAGCGCGGGCATTGGACACGAGGCCGCGGAGACGGGCGAGTTTGGAACGCTCGGAGGCGCGGCGCCGAGCATCAAGAGTGGCCGGGAGCGCACGGGAGGCAATGCGCAGGTCATTGAGGCGAGGCAGGACGCACTCGATGTGCTCTTCATCGAGGACGTGAGTACGCGTCTTCGTCCCACTCCCATCCCTAGCGCTCACCTGCTTTCCTAGGTCCTCGGCGCTGTCCAAGCTCGCTACGGCGAGCGCTACCTTCTGGCGCGCTGGGTCGACTACGCACAAGGCTTTGCGCGCACGGCAGCGCGGCACGAGGAGCATTTCTACGGCCACACGACGCTAGCTGCGCCCAGCCAACCTTTCCTGAACGGCCAGCTCGGCAGCGGAGTCGTCTTTGGCGACCGAGAGACGGAACTACGCGAGACACAGGCGAATGCTCATCGCGCCGAGGGATGGCTCGCCACAGAGAGCTATAGGCTGTACAGAGATGTGAGTGCCGCCTGGCTTACTTGCTCCTGTCCGTGCTGACGGCGATGCGTGCCCCAGGATGAGGCACAGAGGGAGCGACAGCGCGCAGCAGGCGGGCAGACGTACGACCTGCAGCACCAAGTGAACCGGCTCAAGCGGGCACGGCAGATCAACACCGCCGAGGCCGAGCTGCTCTTCTCGACGCTAGCATCGAGCATTCGCAGCGCCGAGCAGATGACGGAGCTGCTTGCGCTTCACCCGGCGCACTCCGGCGGGCTTTCCAGTCTGAGCGTCGGTCTCCTACACCCCTCGTCTACGGTGCGCCACGCCACGCTCGAGCTCTTGCTGCAGCTCTCGTCCTTTGCCCTTGGGCAGAAGTTCATCCAGCAGCTCAATGTCTTCCATCGTCTCACCTTCGCGCGTCTGCTCTCGGAACGAGGAGACGCGGCGATTCTCTGCGCGCCGCCCACGGCGGGCATCAGCCACGCACCACCGCAGTTTGCGAGGCGACCGTCGGGCGGCACGATGCGCGACGGCCTGCCTAGCTCGGCTGGCTCGTTGCCCTTCTTGGCGAACTCGAGTGCCTCTCATGCGTATCTCGCACAGCCGAGCTCGGCCATCGACAGCCGCGCTCCTTCGCCGTCGGCGCTGAGCTACACTGCTGCCACGTGAGGCCCGCCACTTCGTTCCCCCTTGCTCTTTACGCCGCGATCCTCCTGCTCCCTTTACGCACCGTCACCAACCTCTGTAGCAACACTCTCATGCTCGCTCATCAAATTGTTCTGGTGTTCTACACAAACACGCCCCTCTCGGCCGCTCGACTTCTCGTCTCCTGCCTGCGGTCCTCCTCCAACGCCTTGGCCTCGGCCTCTGCACGCGCCGCATCGAGCGCCGCCAGCGTGCTCGCCGCGCGCATGGCTGCACCGTACTGCTCCACCTCTGCATCGCTCAGCTCTGCTTGTGCGGCTCGCAGTGGCGCACGAGCCGACCAGAGCGAGAAGAGCGAGGTGAGACGCGCGGTGGAAGCGGCGGCGATCTGGTGGAGGAGGTGAGCATGGCCGCGGAATGTGCGGGAGGAGGGAACGACTCACCTCAGCCTCGAGTGCCGCGTCTACACCGACATACGAGCTCTTCGGCACCGGCGTCGGCAGCGCGCGCCCGCCGAAGCCTCGAGCTGTACCAGGCGTGTTCGGCATGCTAGCAGCGATGGGCGTCGACGCTCCACTTCCAGTCCGGTTGAGGCCGGCGAAGTTGAGGCGGCCTGGCGGACCTCCCGCTGTGTTGCCAGCAACAGCAGCGGCGCCAGCGATGGCGCCGGGCCCGAACGATCGTTGAGGCGTGCCCATCATCCCTGCGCCGCGTGCCGCGTCGATGCTGGCGCGAGGTCCAGTCGGCGCGCCTTGTCCGTGCTTGTCGTCCGGCGATTCGTCCATCGGTCCAGAGCGCTGAACCGACATGCCTTGCGCATAGGCCGAGCCTGCGGCTTGTGACTGCATCGCGGCGCGCTGTGCTTCTTGTTGAGCGAGGCGACGCTCTTGCTCGGCTTGCTGCGCTGCTTGTGCGGCGGCCTGTGCGGCCTGCGCTTGTTGCTGCGCCTGAGCTTCGGCCGCAGCCTGTGCCTGGGCTTGAGCTGCAGCCTGCGCCGCCGCAGCTCTCGCCTGGTCCTGCACCCTCGCGACCTGCTTCTTGATCTGAGCATCCGCCTCTCTTCTCGCGACCTCATCCTTCTCTTCCTGCTCCCGTCTCTCCTCCTTCTCGTTCTGCCTCGTTTGTTCCTCGGACGCCGCCGCGGCCGCCGCAGTGGCGGCGGCATCGGCCACGACGTCGAGTGCGGGAGCGGCAGGTTCCTCGAACGCTCCCTCCTCCGCGACCTCTCCCTCCTCTTCGCTCTCCTCCTTCTCCTCCTTCCTCTTGATGTGCAGCGGCAGCATCTCCGAGGAGATCGGCATGCCTCCTGCGTCCCTCTTCCTCGCCAACGATCGAGGTGGCGGGTCGTTGGTCGGGAGCTGAGGCGGCACCACAGGCTGAGGCATGCCTGCTGCTCCGCCTCCGCGCCCAAAGGGAGGCATGCCCCATGCGCCTCGCATGCCTCCCCGTCCGCGACCGCGGCCGCGCCAGCCTGAGGGACCGAGAGGCGCGTTTGCAAGGCCACCTGGACCGGCTGGCGGCACGCCGCCGAAGCGAGGATTCGGAAGCATGGGCAGTGGTGCACCCGAGCCGGGACCGTAGGCTCGTCGCGCGGGCCCACTTGGTGGAGCTTGAGCACTGCCGCCTGCTGCGCCTTTGAGTGCTAGCGAATGAGCAACACGCATCGCGGCGCAACACGGCGAGCAAACACGTACCTTGTCCCCACCTCCCCTCGCCGCCCGCTTGGTCTCTAGGCGCCGGCGAGCGCGATCGAGACTCCCTCCCAGACCTTCCGGAGAAGGAGCGTCCGGAACGTGCCGAACGCGCAGAACGGCCAGAGTCACTGCGTGAGGCGGAACGCTCGCGAGAGCGCGGCGAAGAGGGCGGTGTGCGCTGCGGCGATCGTCCGGGACGCTGCAGAGTCATGCGGGAAGGTGGAGAGCGCGAACGACGAGGTGAGAGCCGATCTGTGCGGGAGGACGGCGTTAGTCTTGCAAAGGCGCTCGCCTGCTCTCCTCCAGAGCTTCGCCAGGCGTCCGCACGACGTATCGCCCCACGTGCGGGCGCGCTTGCCCATCCCTCGCCTCCTAGTCAATCAGTGCCCTCTGCCCCCACCCTTCCAGCCACACAATGTCCCTCACCGCTGCCATTCTCCACCTTTCCGTGCCGTCACATCCTCCCACTACTCCCACTCACCTCTTCCTCTGTCCTCCGCCTCCCATCTCCTCCCCGCGCCCGCCACGGGTGTCGCGTTGGCATTCGTGCCCGCCGGTCCCATTGCCCCTGGTCCTCCTGCTCCTCCGGCGCCCCATCGTCGATTCGGCCTCTCGCTTCTCGCCAGGTGCGGCGGTGGGGATCGCTCCCTGCCTCCTCGCGGATGAGGCAGGCTCTGCGGCATCTGCCCGCCACCTCCGCCGCCGCCGCCGCCGCGTCCTCGTCTGCCCCATCCTCGCTCAGGCACGGGCGTCATGGGCCCTGGCCCTGCTGGAGGCGCAGGCCCATCTGGACCACCGGCACGTCGGCCGTAGCCAGCATCGCGGGATCGCTCGGGGAAGTCATGTGCTGCGCCTGCGCCACCTCGAGGTGCACGCTCGCGCTCGCCGCCGCGCTCGCCGCGCTCCGGGCCGCGAGAGGGGCCGCCGCGACGATACATGGCGACGCGCGGGCGCTGAGACGCTGAGTGCGATTTGGGAAGTGAGGAGAGAGAGGCGAGGAAGCAGGAGAGGTGGTGCGGGCGTGAGGTGAGGGAGAAGAAGCAAGCTGGCGCGGCGCTCTTGCTGCGAGATGAAGGCCGAAGCGTGCGAAATGCGCGCCGCGCGCCGCCGCGCGCGGCGCCGCGCCGCCAAAGCAGCACCTTCGCAGCGCCCGGCGCTTCCTCACTCGACTGCACTCACGGACGCTCTCGCCTCGCCTTGCGCATCGCCTGCTCCGCGCCCCATCGCGCACACAAAAGAGGAAGCGAAGCAAGGCCGTTTGGATTGCAATACAAGCCGCGTCGCGCCGGTGCGGAGGAAAGACAAAAGGGGCCGTTCGGTAAGAGGGCTAGCTGCGAGTCAAACGCACTCGAGGAGAGCTAGAGTCCTGCTCTGCTCTCCACGACGGGCGCGATGACAAGCCGTCGTCCGGGCGCTATGCGGAGCGCGGACGGCGCGTTAGAGAGGAAGACACGGTCGGGAACGAGGACTGGGGTACTAGAGGGGATGAGGGCAACGAGCGCCGTGCGTTGGCGAGATGGTTAGGCCCGCGGCGGTCGAAGGGAGAGATACTGGTACAGATGAGGATGGCGAGCGAGCAATCGAGACCTCAGGGCGAGGGTGCTTGCCCGAGACTCGGTAGGAAAGAACGGTCCGTGCGAGGCCGGAGACTCGGGAAGAAGGCAGAGCGTCCGGCAGGCGAGGCAGGGTCGTAAAGGGTCGTCAGATGCGCGGCAAGGGAGAAGCGACGAGGCGAGGCGGTGGCCTATTGCAGCACGAAGAGGCCTGCGAGCGACAGCGCGACCAGTGCGCTTCCGGTGCCGACGGCCATCGTGCTTGGCCGCAGCGACGCAGCAGCACCAGCCTTGCCGAGCACCGCGTCCGGCACGCCCACTCGTGTCACGTTCGCGGCGCCCGACGTGCGGTTCGAGCCGACCGTCGCCGCGGGCGTGGTGGCGTTTGGCGAGATGGCAGGTGCGCCGCCGACGTAGCGCGTGCCGGGTGCCGTGGGCGGAGCGTCTGCGCTTGCGCTGCGAATCGAGGGAGAGGCGAGCACCCACTGCAGGCCGCCGAGGATGTGGTTGAGCATGTCCGCGTCGCGGAACGAGGCGGACGTGTGCCCCAGCGCCGTGTAGAACGATCGTCCATCGCCACCCGTGCCTCGCTGGGAGCGCTTCGTGTCCGGCTTGTCGTCGACGCCTCCGCCGACGGAGCCCTTGGGGGCAGTAAGCAGATTGCCCTCCTTGTACCAGGCAATCGGATGCGGCGCGCCTTGGATCGCATTCAGCTCCTTGCGCGTCGCGTCGTTGGAGATGTAGGAGCTTGGATCGACGGTCAGCACCACCTCGTGGTTCAGTGCGCGCGGGTCGGAGGAGAAGTGGTACACCTCGCCAAAGACGTCCCAATGCTTTGGCACGGCCGTGACAGAGGGATGGTCGGCGTGGTCCGGCGCGACTTCAAATTCGGCGTGCTGGATGAAGGGATGTCCCCCGAAGTAGGCACCGCAGAGTCGGCCGTACCAGGGGTACTCGTACGCCGTGTCCGATGCCTATGCGCGATGCACTCAGCAACGGTCGGCACCGCACACAAGCAGCTTGCTCCGACTCACCTCGTGAATGCCCATCCAGCCGCCGCCTGCCTCGATGTAGCGGCGCATATTCCGTGCGCCCTGCGGCGTCAGGGCATGGCCGCTGGTGGAGATGAAGACGAGGGCGTCGAACTGGTCGAGCCAGCCATTCTCCTCGAGCTGCGTCGGCTCGTCGAGGTGCACCGTGCTGAAGCTGTGCTCGTCGCCCAGCTTCTCGAGCGCCTCGGCGGCGTCGTAGCGCGAGGCGTGCTGGTAGCCCTCTGTGCACAGGCGTCAGCGATGCCCGGCTGGGCGAGCACGGCGGGCAGAGACGCACGCGCATAGGTGTACAGCAGCACTCGTTGCCGTGCCGCTGCCTGTGCGGCGAGGCAGAGGAGCGAGAGGGAGAGAAACAGACGGGCAGCCATGGCTGGCGAAGCGGTGCAGGACAGAGGGCGGCTGCGGTGAGGTGTCGGCTGAGGGTGCAAGTCGGAGAGGAGGCAGCGTAGAGTGTTACTGCGTGAAGGAGTGTGAAGCCGGCGAGGCGTGGGGTCGCGTGCGATACGCTGAGGCGGACGAGGAGGATGCTGTGGAGAGAGAGGGTCGAGGTGGTGGTGGTGCAGTCGATAGAAGAGAGCCTGCCAGCAACGTCGAGTTGAGGGTGACGGGCCAAACGAGATCTTAGAGCTGTCACACCTGCAGCGGCCCACGGGCCAGGCCGTGTGGCTCTTGCCTTGTCCCGCTGCAGCAGGCTGCGCGAGGGCGAGAGCCACGCACCCGGGGCACCACGAGGTGTTGCTGTCCTGCGCCGAGTGCCGCTGGTGCTGCCGTCTGTGTCTGCCGCTGCTGCCTGCACGGCCATGCATGCGCTGCAGCGCTCAGCGCCTGCAGCGGATCCGCTGCACCACGCGCCGCGCTCCGCCGAGAGGCAGGCCGGCCCTTCTCGTGTCTCTTCGCTGCTTCCTCGCCTTCGCGCTCGCTCCATCTCATGCCTGCGCTCCGCCAAGGCAGCGCCAGAATGCCCCCGGAAGGCGTGCGATGCTGCCCAGCCTTTCTGTGCGCATCGCGTCTCGCGAGCATGCTCGTCAGCCTCGTGCCCCTCACGCAGCGCATGGGCCCCGCACGTCAACACCTTCACTTCACACACACCCTCTCTCGCCTAGCGCACGGATGCAGCGATGTCGCGCCTCGGCAGCGGCGGGTAGGCGAGGAGAGACGAGGCAAGGGCGCGGCACACCCTCGCAGGCACGCCGGCAGCCGCTGGCCATGCCCTCACAGCGCGCAGCAGGCAGCACCCAGCGCAGGCCGCCCAGCGGCAGCGCGCTCAGAAGCGGCACACGCATGACGAAGCAGCGGGTATGCGTGCCTCGGCAGCCGTTGCCTTGTCAGGCCCCTCTCGAGAGGACAAGGAGGGCTCGGCATCGCAGCGGCTCCTCTGCCCCCCCTCAAGGGCTCGTTAGCGTCCTTCCACCTGCACCCGTGTTGCTCTGCTCCTGTGCTGCTCAGGCATGTTGAGATCGGCAGTGGCGCCATGCCCCTCATTCGCCCTCCGCTCCCATGCCCGTCATGCGAGCTTCTTTCTCGAAGGGACTTGGGCGCCCGCGGGCTGCACGCGCAAAGACTGCTCGGGTGCCCCAGGGGAGCCGAGGCTCGCGCTAAGGCGGCGCGACGCGGCTTTGCCGCTGCATGCCGTGCGCTGCGGCTCCTCCATCCCCGCCGGAGCGCGGTGCTGCCGCTGCCGGCGCTGCGCTCCAGACGCAGCTCACTGCCCGTCGGCACGCTCACGTGCGACAAGGGCCAAGCCGTGGTGCGTACGCAAAACTCTTTCTGCATTCGCAGCGCAGGTGCGACGGATGCGAACGGCAGGTGCAGCACTCTTACTCAGGTGGGCCTGCATGACGGCTGGAGGCGAGATCTCGCTGGTCTCCAGAGGTCCGCACCGCTCTTCGCCAGTCAGCCGTCGGGCGCCGAGGCAGAGGCACAGGTCGGGTGCTTGCGGTCCGCGGAGAGAGAACGGTACCTTTCTCTCACGTGGAATCAGCCACTCGAGTCGCTCGAGCAGCGGTACGGACGCAGGATGATGCTGCGCCGCACCTCGTCCCGGTCTGAACAGGAAGGCCCGCAAGCCCGCGAGCCGCTTGGACCCTCAACGTGGGAGTGGGAGCTGCCAGAGGCTCCTGACTATGCCGTGACAGAAGGTAGCGAGAGCGATGGCGACGGTAGTCCAGACGTGAGACGACGACGGAGAGACGAGAGGCTTGCATCTCGGAGATCAAGACGCTCGGTTCGCTCATCCTGCACTTGCGCTCGTCCGCAAGCTCATCGATGAGGGGGCTCTCCACTCTGACTTTCATCGCGCCCCTCTCATCAAGTCAGGGCGCACTGGGGGCTTCATCCAGGTACGCAGATGCTTATTTGCGGCGTTACTCAGGAGAGGCAATGAGGCGGAATTGCGAGCGCCACTGGCGTCACTTGAGCTAGAGTGCTGCGGCAGAGAGGAGGATGCTGGTGGCCTGCGTGCGCAACGCTTTTGCGAAGAGGCATGGGGTGGAGGTACGCTTCAAGTCGATGCCTGCCAGCTCAGCGACGCACAGACGCAGCACAGCAATGCAGCTGCTCAGGCGGCCTGCACCAAGACTTTGCACGTCGATGCTGAGGCCGAAGAGGTCGCTCGAGAGTCGAGTCTGCTGCGGCGATGCGGCCTGCTCAAGGCTCGACACGGCCAGCCTCGCTCGCCGTGGCGGCGCAGCGAGCAGCCGCAGCGCCATCGCCCACACGCCGGTCTCGCACGTCGCACGTCGCAACGATGCAACGTCGTGACGTCGACGTGCAGAGAGGCGTCGCTCGCACGGGAGCGAAGCGAACCTGTTGAGGCCGCGAAGGACGCCGAGCGGCGCGCGGGTGTTGGACGAGATGCCAAGGCGCGCGAGCGGCAGCCGCAGACTGAGAGCCGCAGCGTCCAAGGCGTGCCGCCGGCGTTCTTGGCTGCCGCCCGCGCCGTGCGGTGCGGAGGCGGTGCCGCGCGCGCGCGTGCTTGGGCCGCGCCGCACGACCCTGACGCCTTTGCGCCACCTCAGCATCGGGCAGGGGGCAGCACAGGACGCCGCGGTCGCAGGAGCTGCGACGCAGCAGCACCGCCTCTTCGCTCTCGACGTCGACCCTCCCTCTTCGTCCCACTTACGCTTGGCCTGGCGCTGCGTCCTTTCTCCCTCTCGACCTCCTCGACTTGATCGCACTGGCTTGCATCTCTCTCCTCACCCTCAGCCTCTCTCTCTCTCCGCCGCTCGCCGCTCGCCGCCCACCATGCGTCTCTCTCTCCCCTTTGCTCTCCTCTCTCTGCTCTCCCTCACTGTCGCCAGCCCCGTGCGGCGCGCAAGCACCTGCAACGGCTCCCCCGCGCTCTGCTCCCGCCTCTACTCCAACGTCACCTTCGCCGGCGCGCACAACTCCTACGCCATCGCGCCCAGCGCGCAGACCAATGCCGGCGCGAACCAGAACGTCTCGCTGAGCTTCCAGCTGGACATGGGCGTGCGCCTGCTGCAGAGCCAGGCGCATGCCAGTGGCAACAGCAGCGCCACGGGCGCGGGCGTGGATCTGTGCCATACCAGGTGAGTGTGGGCAGAGGCGCGGGCACTGTGGGAAGTGGGCAAAGAAGTAGAGGAGGACTCGGGAGACGCGGCTGTTTAAGGCGCCTGCACTTGGCGCAGGGCATTGAATGATACGGGGTCCTTTGGGCGGGCTGCGCTCGTGCACACGGCCATCGAGCAGCGCGGCACGAGGCTTCCAGCTGCCACAGCTCGCCTCAGCGACGAAGTTCCGGGCTCGAGCTCTGGAGTGGCTGCTTCCACCCTCCCCCTGCCTCTCTTTCGCGCGGGGCCTCAGTTCGCGGCGCAAGCTCTCTTGCTTTGCACACCTGACGCTCGCCCTTGCCGCAGCTGCTCCATCTTCCAAGGCGGCGCCCTCGAGGCCTATCTCTCCCAAGTCTCCAGCTGGGTCTCCTCGAACCCGTCGGAGGTGCTGACCTTGCTCATCGTCAACTCCGATGCCCTGCCTGCCTCTCGCTTCGCCCAAGCGTTCGAGTCCACGGGCCTCGCCAGCAAGGTGTACAACCCCACTGCTACGGGCGCTGCGACGAACGGCGTGGTGGCCAAGAGTGCATGGCCTACACTGGGAGCACTGGTGGATGCTGGAACGACGGTGGTGGTGCTCCTCAGTAGCGGGGCCGATACGAGTAGCGTAGGCTGTGAGTACCCTCCCTTCCCCCCTCCCTCGCGTCCCTCATCGCTGACGTCGCCTTGCAGATCTGCTCCCGCAATTCGCAAACGTCTGGGAGACGCCGTACGACCAGACCTCGGTGCCGTTCAGCTGCAGCGTCGACCGGATCGACTCGTCGAGCACTTCCTCCAACCTCATGTACCTGTCCAACGCCTATCTCGACGAGGCGCTCTTCGGCAACATCGTCATTCCGGCCGTCGCGTCGCTCGGAGACACAAACTCGGAGAGCCGGCAGCTCGAGAATGCCTACGCATGCGCAGGCACGCACGGCACGGCGCCGAACTTTCTGCTCAGCGACTACTCGCAGATGGGAGAATACGGCGTGATGAAGGCTGCAGCCAGACTCAATGGCGTCGAGTACACGGAGCCGACGAGCAGCCCGACGAGCCGCGGCTCGGGCTCGGGCAGTGGCAGCGGATCATCGAGCGGCGGCAGCAATGGCGCCGCAACATCGCCACGCTCTCTCGCGGCAATGGCGATGGGAGCGGCGGGAGTGGCGCTGCTGACGCTCTAGGTCGCTCGTCACCTCCCTCGCTCTCTGTCGTCGCCCAGTCTCTCATGGCTTCCTCCCCCGTCATCGTCCCCGCTGTTCTTCCTGCCTCTCGCAACTGGCCTCTCAGCTGCTTTGCAATCTTGCCATGCGCACCGAGGCGTGCGCGTCGTCTCGTCAGAATCGCCTGCTCATTTTGCATCCTCAGGTTGGGTGCAGACAAGCGAGGGGCCAGCAGCTCTGTGTCGCGAGGCAGACGGCGCAGACGAGGCGGCGTTGCCGGCGGCATCTCGCCGAGCAACGGCTGGCCCGGCGATACTGCCGGGGCCGGCCCTTCTGCTGCTGCGCCTGGGTGCCGCACGGCACTCAGCAGCACCCGCTTCGCTGGGGAAGAGGGCGATGTTTCTGCCGACGGCGTGGCTTTCGCATGTGCTCGCCGTTGCTGCGGCGCCGCGTGCGCCTGTCGTGAGCGCCGCCGGCTTCGCGCGTCGGGAAGCGGCGCATGGTAGCAGGACAGGGAGCCGGAGCCCCCCTCCGCATGACGCGGCGAGGAGGCGCGAGCCCGAGGCGCGCGGCGCCGCTGCGCTGATCCGCTTGCGCGAGGCCGGGCGACGCGGCGGCTTGGCACGCAGCCGGCCAAGCGCGCGCCGCGCAAAGGGCAAGCGCGAAGCGTGGGCGCGAAACGTCGGATCTCCAAGCGCCAGCAGCTGCAGCCGCTCGGGCGAGGTGCGCACGCCACGCGACGTGCACGCGCCCCGCAGCCGCCGCGCCCGCAGCCTCAGTCCGTGCCTTGCTTCCTCGCCTCCTCTCGTGTGCCTGCCCGTTGGTCAGCGCGACTCGGCCCCTCTCGCATCTGCATCTGCACCCGCCCTGCGCCGACCGCTAAGGCTGCGTGCTGCTGCTCTGCCTGGCCCGGGGCGTCGGCGCTGCGGGGCCATCGCCATGCATGCCGAGGCAGCACCCGCAGGAAGAGGCGCACATGCCCCCTCCTCCGCCGCGGCCACGGCCGCCAGCTCCTCCCCGTCTGCGCGTGCCTCTCCCGCCCTTGTCGCCAGCAGCAGCCGCAGTGTGCCGCCTCAGGCCAGCAGTGCCGCCTCTGCGCTCGCCTCTTCCCCTTCCTCTCTACGACATCGGCCTCTGCCATCCCACGCCTCCTCCTTCTCATCTTCGCGCGAGCGCAGCATGGCGCCCCCACTGCTCCCGCTGCCAGGCACGCGCAACGACAGCAGCAGCAGCGCCATGCCGCGTGCATGGCGCAGGCGCCGCTTGCAGCGCACATGGTGCATGCTCTTGACGCTCGCGGCGCTCGTCACCCTGCTCTGGGTGCCGGGCTGGGCGGGGTGGAGGACGAGCGGTGAGTGAGGGGGTCGAGCGCACGGACAGGCTTGGCGGCGAGAAGGAGGAGCAAGGAGGCGCACAGAAGCGATGGCGTGGTAGAGCAAGGTGGACAAGCAGCTGCTGGTGAGGCGAGAGGGCTCTGGCTCCTGCTCAACCCCGGTCTCGCTGCGTCTCTCAGCGCAGGCAGCCTCACCGCTCGATGCAGCTGCTGGCATGCCGACTGAGCACTGACGCCGCTCCTGCTGCGCCGCACAGAGTGGCGCGATGCTCTCCAGCCTCAGCGCTGGATGACGCCTTTCCGCGGCGACTCTGCGCTCGACGCTGGGCCAGAGGTGCACGACTTCGATGTGCCACCTTCTGCTCCCGACCCACTCGAGGCAGCACCGCCAGCCCGGCCTTCGCCTCCCGGTCGACCGTCTCCTGGTCGACCTGCGCCAGGCGACAGCGAGGCAGGAAGCAGTCCGTTCGGCTCCGGCTTCGGCGGACGCATTGGGCACACTCGGCCCGCCGATGCCATTCTCGGCGCTCAGTTGCCTGTGGGCTACGAAGAGCCGCCCAGCGAGGCGTCGGATCGCCCCGTGCTCAACTCCTCGGCTTTCCCCGCACAAGTAGCCTACATGAGTGCCTCGATGGCCATGGCGATCCAAGCCAACTCTGCCTCGCCCCGCCCTGCCGATCCTCATCTGGGCGAGATTCCCGAACATCTGCTCGCCGTGCTCTCGGCGCCCCGCACCTTCACGCCACCTCCACGCCCGACCGATCAAGGATGGACGTCGATCAAGCGCGTGGAGCCGAAATGGCTGAAGTGGAGAGATGGCAGTGACACGACGCGGGAGGATGCGATGCATCCCGAGCGCGTTGCGCTGGAGGATGATTGGCGCAAAGCGCCGTACAGTGGCTGGCAGCCGCCACTGAAGGAGCTTCGAGAGTTCCTCGACGGCAAGGCCGCGCCGCTGCCGAAAGTGCAGCATGCGTTTGAGGCGCCGCAGCGGCACAGTGGCAAGATGGGCGATGAGCAGAGGGAAGCGCTGATCAAGGAGAGACAGATACTCGTCAAGAATGCCTTTTTGCACGCGTGGGACGGCTACAAGGCGCTGGCTTGGGGACACGATGAGCTGAAGCCGGTCAGCCAGGAGCCGCATGACAACTTCAACGTGAGTGAGAAGGCGCGTGGGCACGACGACGGCGGCGGCGCTCAGACGTGCTACCTGCAGGGCTGGGGAGCTACCATCGTCGATGCCCTCGACACACTGCTCGTCATGGATCTGCGCGAGGACTACGACGTGGCGCGACAGCACGTGCGCGACATTGACTTTACCTTTCTCGGCGGCACCCGTTCGGCATACGGCACATCCGACGGCCGCGTGCCAGTGTTTGAGACGGTCATTCGCTATCTGGGCGGCCTGCTCTCGGCGCACGATCTGGCGGGCGATGAGCTGATGCTCGAGCGCGCCGAGGAGCTGGCGCAGTTGATCCTGCCGGCTTTCGAGACGTTCTCGGGCTTGCCTCAAGGCCGTCTACGCCTGGGTGCGCCCCCGCTGCGCTCGCAAGCGGGAGCGGTCGTGCTGGCAGAGGCCGGCAGCCATCTGTTGGAGTTCACGCGCCTCTGGCAGCTCACCGGCAACCGCACCTACTTCGACAAGGTGCAGCGTACGACGGACTGGCTTGATCGCAACACGTCGCGCTCTGATGAGCGTCTGGGCACGTTGCTTCCAACGACGCTTTTCCCGGAGTCGAGACACATGTTCGGTGCGCAGCGATGATCAAGCAGACGCGTGTCATGCCCATGCTCACGTCGTCCACACAGGCACGTACTCGCTTGGTGGCATGGCCGACTCGTACTACGAGTACCTCATCAAGGAGCACCAGCTGCTCGGCGGCGCTCTGCAGTACGGCCGCATGTACGCCGAGGCGATGGACAGCACGCGGCGCTGGCTCATGCGCACCATCACGGGCGTGCCGGGTGCGCCGAGCCTCATGACGATTGGCTCCAGCAACGGCAAATACTTGTGAGTGGGCAGCAACGATGCGCACTGCTGTATGAGAGTGCTTACACATGTCCTGCGTTGCAGCCAGCCGAAGCTGGAGCATCTGACGTGCTTCTGCGGCGGCATGCTCGGCCTTGGCGCACGGCTCCTGGACCGCGAGCGCGACCTGACCAGCGCACGACGTTTCACCGAGACGTGCTGGTGGGCGTACAACGCCACAGCGACGGGCGTTGGGCCCGAAGAGCTCATGTTCTACTCGGACGCCGACGACGATCGCTTCGAGGTGACATACGATGAAGACGGCGCCGCAAGTCGAGGCAAGGCAAAGGGCGCGCCGCTCGTTGGCGTGAGGAGCATGAATGGAGACTACAGGAATCGACCGGAGACGATCGAGTCGGTGCTCTACATGTGGCGCCTCACGGGCGATCCGATCTGGCAGGTGCGTTGCGCCATGGGCGGATGTAGTGGCAATGCGCTGTGCTGATCACCCGTCCACAACAGGAGCGCGGCTGGCAGATGTTCGCCTCGTGGGTCACGCACTGCATGACCGACGTTGGCTTCTCGTCGTTGCACGACGTCATGCAGGTGCCGGCACAGCACACCGACTCGATGGAGTCGTACGCCTTTGCCGAGACATTCAAGTGCGTCTGGGGTGCTTGCGGATGCTGCTGGTGGACCCAGCGCTGACGTGCTTGCTGCACAGATACTACTACCTGCTCTTCTCGCCGCCCGACCTCATCTCCTTCGACGTGAGTGTGGAAGCGGCATCGTTCTCGCGTCTTCTCCTGGCTCACAGCGCCGCCCCAGGAATACGTCTTCACGACCGAGGCGCACCCTCTACTTCTCCCTCAAAACGGCGTCTGGGGCTCGCCCGGGCGCGGGCGACAGACATTCTGGGATGCCTCTGCGTCGCACGAGCCCTCTCCCGGCTCCAAGGCCTACTCGGGCGGCGAAGGCGGCGTCGTCGGCGGCTTGACGCACGTGCAGAAGGTGGCGCTTCTGGCGATGCAGAAGCAACAAGCGGCGGACGAGGCGGCGCGGCAAGAGCGCAAGACGGCACAGGCTGCTTCGGCCGCGTTGCGAGCGGCCGAGGCAGCAAGCACGGCGGCGGCTGCCGGCCAGGCTGTCGTGGCGCGAGGCTTAGAGCTTGGTAATGACGGCGCGGCAGCCGTCAGCGCGGCGCTCCGACGGCTGCTCAACTCGGCAGATCTCATTTGGCAAGGACGCGGCGCCGATGCACCAACTGCAACCGCAGCAGTCTCGCGCCAAGACGCAGGTACGCTTCACGGCTCGAGTCGCGCTGGACCGCCCCAATCTGCACTTGTCCCGGCGACGCTGCGCGAGGAGGAGCTGGACGAGCACGGCTTGCCATGGGGACATCCGCAGGGCAAAACTTCGCCGGAGCAGATGCGCCGCTTGCAAGAGGAGGTGCAGGCGGCTCAAGAGCGGGTGATCCGCGAGGCTCTCGAGAGACTGCAGCTGCTGCAGGCGGAGGGCACGGAGATTGCAGTCACGGAAGAGGGAGAGCTGGTGCTCGTGCGAGACGTGGGACTCGCCGAGCAGGAAGAGGAGGATGAGGCGCTCGTGGATGAGGTGAGCGAGTACGCCGACGAGGAGGACGAGGACCACGACCCTTGAACGACCCGACGTGGACACGCATGTCCGACCCACCCCACTCAAATACCATCTGCATCGCTCCCTTCGCGCCCTGGTCGCGATCTTGTCTGATGAGCCGTCCAGCCAGGGTGCTGCTCGCGGATCACTGCAGTCACTTGGCTTGGGAGAGGCAAGAAGGAGCGCTGGCAATTATCAGCCACGGCAGATGCGCCGGACTGGGAGAGAGGGGATAGTGTAGCGAGATACAGGGGTCGGGAAGCCGCTCCGGCGTGCGCGCTACTTGGTGCGCTTGTACACCTGCTCGTCGCTCGCACATCAGCCTCTCAAGCGTCAAGCGTAAAGGAGGGAGGACCGGGCACGACTGACCTTCTCCAAGAAACTGCGGAACACCTCCCTCTTGAGGCCGTTCGATCCATCGTCCTTGGCGCCCACGTTCTCTGGCATGTCCATGATCATCTTCTCGATGCGCGCATGGCTCTCCTTTTCATACTCCTTGAAGCGCTTCTCGACGTCGATGTTCTCGGCACGGAACACCGCCTTGACGCGCTCTTCGCTCTCGGCACTGCGCTGCCCGTAGTGGGCGTCCAGGACGGCGCGTTGCTCAGACGTGGCGTGTGCAAGGGCAACGTTGATGTTCCAGCTGCACTTGTTGTCCTGGATGTCCGTGCCGACTGCGGAACGGAGAGCGACGCGAGGGAAAGCGAGGCAAAGCGAAGAGAAGAGAAGATCAGCACAAGCCCTTCCACAGCGCTCAACGTGCAGCTACGCACTCTTGCCGATAACCTCCGGTGCGCCATAGCAGTCCAAGTAGTCATCCTGCACCTGGAAGTACTCGCCGAGCGGCAGCAGAATGTCCAGCGCGCGCTTGTAGAGCGACTCGTCGTCCAGACCGGCCTAGGGATTCGCGGGAGGCGAAAAAGTTAGTATGTTTGCGACGCGCGTGCTAAAGCGAAGAGCGAGGACAGCATGCAGACTGCGGCCCATATCAACCGAACTCGCGAACGAGCCTGTCTCCTGTACTCCTCCTCCGCTCCTCTCATCCTCTGCTCCCCCCTCTCTCCCTCTCGCTGTCCCTCATCATACAGCGTCCCCCATCGCCTCACTCACCATGCGCATAGCAAGCGCGACGGGCAGGTAGAAGCTGTAGAATGCCGTCTTGTACACGACGATGAGGTGGTGCCTTGGGCAAGCAAGGGAGCGTCAGCAGCAGCGATGCCAGTAACAGGAGAGCCACAGCGACGGCAGCGGCAGCCCTCGCTCCCCCTCCTTCGCAGCGGCGACTCACTTCTGCAGACTGAAGCGGCTCAGATCCACATCGTCCTCGGGCGCGGTGATTAGATCGATGAGCTGTCCCAGCTCCGTCTGGAACGTGACGTCGTGGAAGAGCTCGAGGAGCAGGCCGTAGTAGGGGCGCGTGCGGAAGTGCGTCTTGAGCAGGTGGTAGATGGCGGCCTCGAGCATGAAGGCGTCGTTGATGGCAATGTTGCCCACGCCGGGCATGCGGTACCAGCACGGCTGCCCGCGGCGCGTGACGGAGGCATCCATCATGTCGTCTGCGACGAGAAAGTATGCTTGCAGCTGCGCCGTGCCCCAGCGTGGCCATCAGCATGGGCAACCCATCGCCTCGTCTTCGCTGCAGACGCACCAGCTCGACACACCACCCGAGCACAGCAGCATCCCTGTATTCCTCCTCGCTCAGCTCTCTCGTCCGCTTGCCCTGCGCATCCGTGCACAGGATGATGTCGACCGTGTCGACGACGGAGAGGCCGCGGTTGAGCTTGCCGCCGGGCGTGTTGTGCGCCAGCGAGCGCTCGTACCACTCGATGGCGGGCGCCGGCATGCCCTCGGAGCGCAGATAGTCGAGCAGCTCGGCGGAGAGGGCGGGAAAGACGGCGAGGAAGCGCTCGCGCGGCGAGGAGGAGGGCATGGTGACGAAAGTATGGGGGGATGTGGGGGGGAGAGGGCGAGAGGGCGATCCTCTGGAAGATCCGACGCGCCCCGCTCGCCCCACGCCGGCGCGCATCAGGCAAGGCTGCCCCAGCCTGGCGTCACAGGCAGCGCGCCACGTGACGCGCTTCGCGGCGGCCGTGCACGACGGCTTCTGCCGCTGCCTTGCCTCGCCGCCCGCTTCCTTCCTCTCCACACTCGCCTCAAGCCGTCAAGCGCAGCAGCCATGTCCTCCTCTCTCCTCTCGCGCTCTCTGCGCTCATCCGTCACGCCGCAGCGTCTCCTTCGCTTCTCCAGCAGCGCCCCTGCTCCCCCGCCGCCTCCCGCCCCCTCCGCCCGCCCGCCGCCCAACAGGCACGTCCGCTTCTACCGCGACATCCTGCCGCCCATGGTGCGCGTGCTGGCGTACGGCAGTGCCGTCTACTTTGCCGCACATCTCGCATGGACGCTGCTCGACGGGCGCGAGCAGCGCGCGCTGGAGAACGAGGTGCGCGAGCGCCTCGAGGGCGACGTCAGGCAGCGCAGAGAGGCGCTCACGCAGGAGGAGAAGGGGCAGGAGCACAAGGCAGGATGGATGGGCTGGTTCTCAAAGTAGAGTTGTAGTCGCTCGATGGCCAGACTCGGCGTATGTTCGAGCAGTCTGCTCTGCCACTCGTCGGCGGCGCATCGGCATTCCGCTTCAAGACTGCTCCCGAGCTCCGCGTCACCTCTTTCTCCCTATACCCATCCATCAGCTCGCACGCGCGCGCGCGCACCCACGACGTGCCGTAGCGCATCTGCCTGCTGAAGAGTCGCTGCGTCTTCAACACGGACACGTGCGACCACACGCAGCGCAAGACGGCGCAGCTCGTCATGGCAGCGTCCGCAGCGGCAGAGCTGGTGCGCATCCCGCTCTCATCGCTCGAGCGCAAAGCACGCCTTCGCGATGCATCTCATGCGTCTGCACTCCGTCCGATCTGCGCTCTCGGCGAAGCGCATCACAGGCCGGCTACACGCGCTTCGCTCGCTCGTCTCGAGAGCGTCGGTTTCAGTCGTCATCAATGCCCACCTCACACGCCAGCTCGCGGCGAGAGAAAGTGTCACAGAGAGCGTGGTCGTAGAGGAGGAAAGGCGAGTGGAAAGAGACGAGCAGGGACGGGTCGTGAGAGCGTCATGAAAGGGAGACGGTGGCCGCGATGCTTTGATGAGCGCAGAGAAGGAGAGAGAGAGAGACCGTGTGTGCATGGCCGTCGTCACGTCTTGCGAAACAGCGCACGTCCACGTCCTTGCATCTTCTGCATCTGCGTCGGAGCCTCGAAGAGCGCCCACTTCAGCTCCGTCTCTCCCTTCGAGACACGCTCTCCTTCAAACGCCACTGCGGCGGCACGACTCGACTCAGCATGCGCTCAAGGCTGCGGCCGCATAGGAGATGAATCGAACTCACCGCCGCTGTCGCCCGCACGCGCACGTTCCGGACTCAGAGAAGGACTGCGCCCTGCTTCCTCCCAGCCGGCCGAGCTCAACAGCGGCTTGATGCTCGAGTTGGGCGAGGGAGACGTGCCATGCAGCGCCAAGTGGTACTTCATGCCGCCCTCGAGTTGCAGGAGGATCGTGGTGCGGTCCTGTTTGAGTGAGAGCGACAAGGATCAGCTGCTCTGCACGTGAGGCAGAAGAGAAGACGCGCACGTACCTCGAGCAGCATGGCGCGAAAGCAAGCCATCTGCGTCTTCTCCTCGATGCGCTTCACTACCTCACGCACCTCCTTGGCCTCACAGCCCGCATTCGCCAGCGCCGCTTGAGCCTCTTGCTGCGCCTCGGCATCGCTGCCGGCAGGCGCCGTGAGAAGCGAGAGCAGATCAACGCCCTGAAGCGTGGGGTTGTTAAGGAAAGAAGGACGATGGGGAGGCAGAGGAGTGGGCGTGGGCGGAGGGACGTAGAAGGAGATGGAGAGCGGAACGGACATGGCTTGGCGTGTCGAGAAGGTGAAGAGAGATGGTGGTGGTGGTGAGCAAGAGACGAGCGAGGCGAGCGAGATGTCAAGAGGAGGAGCGAGGGCAAGGCGCTGAAGGCGTGGGCTTATCGCGGCCGAGGCCGAGTGTGGGGAAGCGCACTGCGCCACGCGTGCACGAGGGGGCACGCCGCCGCTTGCTCTCCAAGCGCCGCAGCTCGCACCGGCTGTCCCGTTCAGGAGCTGGTCCGAGCGTCTTCCCAGAGCAGCAGGTCGGCGTTGCGGTACATCGTTGCCGGTGGGGCACAGCTGTTCCGCGCTGCGGCCCTGCGCTGCAGCTGCAGCGCTGCCTTGATGGACGCCGCAGCGCGCGTTAAGGTGGGCGTTCCCACGCGCAGCAACACACCCCGCGGGTGCCGCGGCCGCGAGCCGGGGCCTTTGCCGCGTTGCGCGTGCTCGTGGGCAGGGCCAGGTCCCCGCCCGCAGCAAGGCATGGCGCTGCGCTCGGGACGCCTTTGCTTCTGTCTGCCTCTGTGACCTCGGTGCTGCGTGCCAGCATGGGACGCAGTCGCAGCTCAGCACGCTGCGAGCAATCTGCTCGGCGCGCACGAGCAGCGCAGCCTCTGCAGTGCGCAGCGAGCTCTTGAGACGGGCGCCAGCATCGCGACGCTCGCCTCAGCCCAGTCTCCGTCTCTTGTCTCTGAGCAGACGCAGCGCCGCATGCTTCGCTGCTTTCTCCTCCTGACACTGTCGTGCATCGCGCGCCGGAGACGAGCGAGGCGCTGGGCGAACCGGCTCACCTCGGCTCTCACTCTCCCACGTGGCGCTCACTCACGCACGGCCTGGCACTCCTCTTGCGTCTGGCAAGCCCATCTATTGCCTCGTTCCCCACTCCTCGGCGCCCTGCCAGCTGGCCCAGGCGCCAAAGTCGTTCGCCAGGCCGCCGGCATGCTCGACGCTGAGCTGCGTGTCTCGCAGCTGCACGCCCGCCACCTCCTTGTACACGCGCTTCGCCGTGTCCGACACACTGCGGCCCGTCAGCAGCAGCATGCGTCCGTGCGGCGCCAGCAGCGCCTGCACGCTCTGCGCCACCTTGCGGCACGTCGCCTGCATGTGCGGCGGCGTGAGCTCGTGCAGCGCGTGGCATGCTGCGTCCAACGCACCTCATTCAGAAACGGCGGATCGACGACCATGAAGTCCACCTTGCCCTTCAGACCCTCAGGCAGCGCAAGCGGCTCGTCGAGGTCATACCGCACGAACTCCTGCTCCGACAGCAGCGCAAAGCGCGTGTCGTACTCGAGCAGGTACGTGTTGCCGCGGTCGTATGCATGCTGAAAGCCCACGTAGGCCGTCGGACAGGAGATGAAGGCCAGCGTCGCGTCCGACGAGGAGAGCTGGGCGTGCACGAGAGAGGCGAGATGCGAGGAGAAGGAGGCCGAATACCTGGCCAGTGTAGCGATCAGTCTCGGGTCCCTCTCAGGCGGCTGTAGACACTCGGCAGTGCCCACATGCCCCCACTCCCCTCCTCGTCCCCGTCCCCTCTCATCGCTCTTAGCGCTTCGCCTTGTGAGCCTTCAACTCACCAGAACTGCGACAACTGCCAACTCTCGCCAAAGTCGCGTCTGAACTCATCGACACTCATCCGCTGCGCCTCTCCCACCGGCTTCACCTCGTTCTCTCCCTCTCCATCTCTCGGCGCCAATGTTGCGCCTTGGGCCTCTCTTCTCCTCCTCTCCGCCTGCTCTTCCAGGCGGCGAAAGCGCTCCGTCTCCTCGGCCTTCTGCTCTTGGAACTGGCCCAGGAGCGCAAGTGTGGCGCTGGACAGCTCGAGCGGCGAAGAGGAGGTGCTGTCGACGCTGCGAAGGGAATGAGGCCGCGGGGAGGAAGGCCCGGGGATGGATTGAGGTGAGGCCATGGCTGCTGAGACGAGGGAGGTGAGAGCGTCAAGGAAACGCGCTGCGAGAAGGGGACTCTCGGCAGAATCGAGAGCAAGTACATCACGTGACCATGCTCCGCACCTCCTCCACACGACGGTGAGTACAAGGTCATGCTTCCTCGCGATGGTGACAGGTGTGCGTTGCAAGACGGACAGTACAGATGAATGTGAGCGGGCAGGCAGCGAGTGAGCGGATGTGAGAATGTCAGCACGTATGGGTGAGGCAGGCAGCGCGATATGTGCGGAGGGCGCCGCTGCAGCCGTCGATCAGCTTCGTCCGCGTTTGGCTCGCGGCCTCGAGCTGCTTGTTGCGCCGCCGCGGCGCTTGGCACCGCGACCTCTGGCAGGCGGCGGCGGAGCGTCTCCGCCGTCTTCGCCCGGACAATCGCTGCTCCAGTGTCCGGGCAGGCCGCACTTGAAGCAGGCGCCATTCTTGCCTGCCGTCGAAGACTTGCCACCTCGGCTGCTGCGACCTCCCCTCGTGGCGTTGGATGTCGAGGCGCCGCTGTTCTTGGAGGGACAGTCGCGGGACCAATGGCCCGAGTCGTTGCAGATGAAGCACTGCCCGCCTCCTCCGCCGCCATCGTCATCGCCGGCGTCTGCATCGTCCACGTCGATATCGGGCCGCGCATCGGAACGGTTGAAGCGCCGCGCTCCGTCGGAGGGACCTGCGCTGTCGTCGTTCGGACAGGAGGAGGACCAGTGGCCTCTGTCGCACGTCGCGTCAGCAGGTGACGTGACCACATGGAGATGAGCAACGACTCACTCTTCGCCGCACTTGAAGCATGCGCCTCCTCCACCTCCGCTTCCCCCGCCTCCAGCGCGACCACGCGGTGCAGCCCGGCCGTTCGAGCGGCCATTGTCGAAGCGATCGGAGCCGCGGCCATTGTCGAAGCGATCCGAGCCTTGTCGGCCCACCGTCGGTCGTCTGGCAGCAGGCTCCACCTCATCTTCCCACTTGAAGAAGCGGCAGCGCGCGCCAGTGCTCTCTTTCGGACAGCCAAAGAACTCACGCCCTTTGTTTGGACCGTCCTGCGAGCGGAATGCGTCAGCGACAGGCGAGATGCATCGAAGCGGAGAGGCTGACCTTGGCGACTTTGAGGAGCTTCGCTTCCAGCTCGCACTCGCATTTGATAGAGGCACCCGGAGCTCCACCGTCCTCGTCTTGCTGGCTGGCGAAGTTTTGGCGGAAGCGATCGATCTCTGAGCCCTGCGACGCAAAGAAGCGTCAGCGGTTAGCGAAGCGCCGCTTGCCAGTCTGGCACTCACACCCGCAGCTGTACGAGCACCTCGAGCCCGACTCGGACCCGGCAGTGCCTGCTGCCCTGCACCTTGGGCATCTTCGAGCCACGAGAAGAATCCGCACGAGCCATCGTCGCGCGGCTTGCTGCAAGACCAGAACTGGCGGCCCTTGTTGGCGCCTTCCTTGCCGACTGTGCGCTGCACCGCCTCGTCGCCGCAGCGACAGAGCGGCGTGTCTCCGCTTGGTGCTGCATCGGGAGTCGGCGCACGGACAGGCGGCAGCTGCCGGCGTGGCGCTGGTGGAGATGCCGCTCGTCGAGCGACACTCGAGCCGCTGGCTGACGGGCCGCGGGCGTCTAGGATGACAAAGTCGTCGTCATCGTCGAGGTCCCGATTCGGCGCAGGCGCAAGCCGGTCAGGGCGAGCCCGCGGTGCCGGCTGCGCTCTCGGCGCCTGTACCGCAGCGGCGTCGAGCGCGACCTCGTCGAGCATCGCTGGCAAGGCGTGAGCTCAATCGAGCGGACTGCAGACCGCGCTCGCACTCACCAAAGCCGACGTCGTCGTCGAACTCGTCAAACTCGTCTTCGCTCGGCGGGCGCGGTGGCCGTGGCGGGTTGCCGCGAGGTGCACTTGGGCCGCCTCCGCCACCGGGTGGGCCACGAGGGGCGCCACCCCCGCCGCCACCGCCGCCTGGACCTGCTGCAGCGGCGCCTCCGGCCTGTGCACCGCCCGCGTCGCCCTCCTCCTCGCCTCGGAGGTACTTCGAGACGCTCTGATGGCACGCATCAGCGAGCAAGCTCGGCGGAGACGGTGGAGCATGACTCACTTGGACGATGCGACCAAGATTCTGCGTCGCCAGCGCAAAGACCGCGCGGTACTCCTCGACGCTCTCCGTCACGGTGGCCTGTTTTGTCTGAGCGCCCTCGCAGATGCGCTCCATGCGTTCCTCCATCTGGGCGGCGCGTCAGCCAGCGCCCATGCACGTCTCTACGCATGAGCACGCACCTCGCGACGCAGCAGCGGCTTCGACAGGCTCTTGTCGTCGGCAAAATTGATCGAGTTGTAGCCCTCGACGAGGCCCATGCCGAGCGTTGAGGGTAGCAGATACTTGGTCTGCCCTTCCATCGTCGTCATGACGTACGTGCGCTCGATGACCTTTGAGATGTGCTCTGCAATCGTCGCATCGGTGCCTGCCAAGCCCGGCCGTCAGCCACCGCCCCGTCTCTGCTTGCAGGACACTCACCAATGCCGTTGCGGTCCATGAGTGAGACCAGGTCTGCCTCGGTCAGCAGCTTGGGCGCCGTCGTCTCGCCCTCCTTCATCGACAGCTCCGTCGGCGTGAACGTCTCGCCCTCTGTGAACTCGGGCAGCAGCGTGCCAGACCACTGCTCATAGACAAAGACCTCGAGGAAGTTGCGCTGCTGGATCACAAGGCCTGCAGCGGTGCATTAGCGGAGTGTGAGCCCGTCGCACCTCTGCAGCTCACCAGTAGCCTTGAACTGCTCTTTCGCAATGTCGATGTCGACCGTGGTCTGGCGGCCGACACCGTCCTTGTGGCAACTGGCGAGGAAGCGGCGCGTCACGTAATCGTAGACGCGCTTCTCGTCGCCGCTGAGGTTGTGGTCGTGCGAGGTCGGGTGGATCGGCGGGTGCGCCTTGTCGTTCTTGTTGCCGTCGCGCGGCCGCTCAAACTCGCCGTTGTTGAGGCGCGTGGCGAAGGCGCCCCACGACGCATCGCTCGTCTGCTTCTCGATCAGCGCGCGGAAGTCAAACGCCTTGTCGTACTGGTCCGTCTCGGTACGCGGGTAGGAGAGCAGGCCGCGGTTGTACAGCTTCTCCGAGATCTGCCGATCATGGTGAGCTGGGACTGGAGGCCGGGCAGGCGGGGCACTTACATCCAGGATCATCTTGGGCGACATGCGCAGCAGCCGCGAGCCGTGCTTTTGCAGCTCGACGGTCGTCAGAGGCGTGCACTTGCTGTAGCAGAGACGTCAGCATGTGCAGAGGCATCGCTGCGACAGCACATACAATTTGCGCGTCTGGCGGCTCGTGACCCTGGTCACGCGGGCGACACCACTGGCCCGGCAGCGCTCGTAGATCGCGAGGACAGCGTCACGGTCGAAGAGATGGTTCTTGGTCCACTTGAACGAGACCTCCTTGCCGTCGCGGCGGTGCATGACGTGCACGTACCAGAACGGCTCGGGCACGAACGTGATGACCTTGACGTACTGGTCGACGACGAAGCCGAGCGTCGGGAACTGACAAGGGCCTGAGACGCGACGTCACGGTCAGCTGCGGCACCACACGCCTTCCAGATGAGCTCACCATAGCTGACGATGTTCTTGCTCAGCTCGTGGAAGCGATTCTGCAGCGCCATCGTCTGCATGCGCGTAAAGGCAGCGCCGATGCGCAGGTCGAGCTCGGAGCGCGCCTCCACCGCCGCAGCGGCGGACCAGTCGAGCTCGACGGGATTCTGCGCTGCATTGTGGATCTGGCTGCGAGTGGCGAGGAGCAGCGAGCTGGGTTAGAGGAGCTCAGCTGGCAATGCAGCCTTTACTCACGCTGCGATGATAGCGCTGAAGCGCGCCCGCTTCACCTGCACGTTGCGATTCACCTTGCGGCACTCGTGCACCACCTCGGAGCCGATATGCTCGCCCTCGCGATCGCAGTCGGTCCAGATCATGAGCATGTCTGCGTTGCGCACCTCCTGCCGCAAGTTCTGCGCAATCGCCTTGCCGTCCTGGCAGCCTCGCGCCTCAGCACGACTCTGCAGCAAGCACTCGGCACCACTCACCTCGCGAATCGACACGCGCATCGGCGCATCGAAGAGCGCTGCCGGTTCGCACGAGCCCCATTTGCGATGCGCGTCGGTGAACTCATGCTCTGTCAGATGACCGCGCAGCGACGTCACTGTAAAGTCTGCCCATCGCCCGTGCAGGCGGTAGCGAAAGTCGAAATTGCGGCAGTACTTGTCCTTGCCCGGTCGCTGCGCCTCGTGATCAGCCAGCGAGCCAAGCAGAGACTGCCGCTGGACTCACGTTCTGAAAGTCGTTCTCGGAGAGGATCTGGCTGATGGACTTGGCGATCGATGCTGCGTCCGAGCAACGCAGGCCTCAGCGGTGGCGCAGCATCGTCAGACGGCCCGACTCACGCTTCTCAGCAACGCACAGCACCCTCATCGGCCGCTGACTCTCTGCTTCTGCGCCTTGGCCTTCCTCTCTACGCTGCTTTGCGACTGCAGCACGCGGACGCTGCACCGGCGCGCATATACGCAGGCAGCGCCTTGTGTTGGGCAGACGAGCGCGAGGTGCCGGCGCGAGCAGTCCAGCAGCCGCTCCGGCGCGCGCAGTGAGCGGCGCTGCAGCAGCAAGGCGGAGCGTGCGGGCGGCGAGCAGACTGGCGGTGCTGCCCGTGAAGGGACGACAGTAGAGAGGCGCAGCGAGGTGGTGGTGTGCGGGAAGCAGGCAGCAGCGACGCGTCCCTCGACGCGTTGCTCGAGTGGAGGGCGCGAGCGCGGAAATGGCGAGCGGGGTGCGCCTTGGCGGGCGGTGTTGCTCTCCGCCGGCGTGCAGGTGCAGCCGCCGCTCCCGACGTCCACATCCCAGTGCAGCGCAGACGCTGCCCAACATGCTTGAGTTCAGGAGTGCGTCGCCGCAGCGGCAGGCGTTGCTGGTCCTACGCTGATCTTCCGCGCCTCAGTCACAGGTGCGCAAAGCTCGCGTGAACATGCCGCGAGTGACAGCTGCTCACAGGTTGCCAGGCCTGGTGCAGGGCGTCGGCTTTCGCTACAGCACCGCACAGGAGGCCAAGGTGCGCTCCTCGCCGCTCAATCTGCCCGGTGCTGACAACCACTTGCACCGCAGCGCCTCAAGCTGCGCGGCTGGGTGCGCAACACGCGCGACGGCGCCCTCGAGGGCGAGGCGGCGGGCCCAGCCAGCGAGCTGCAGGAGTTGTGAGCCCTCTGTCGTGCCCGACGCCTCGTCTGTGCTTGCTGACACTTTCTCGACATAGCCGAGCCTTTCTGAACAAAGGCCCTTCGGGCGCGCGAGTCGACAAGGCAGACGTGCGCGAGCGCGAGGGGGACGAGCACTTGCCGAGCGGGTTCGAGGTGCGCCACTAGCTGCCACAGCGACCTTCACGGATGCGAGGTGGCTGGAAAGAGCATCAATGAAGGAGTCTGATCCCAGAAGGTGTCGCTCTGACGAGGGTTTTGTTCTGCCGCTCTGATGCTGCAAGCGCCACCTTCGTCGGTGGGTGGCTTGAGTGATGAGCTCAAGAGCTCGATGTGGTGCGCGGAGCCGAGGCCAAAGGGAGTGGCAGCACTGCGCCTCGAGCCCTCTGATGAGACACCGCCCATGAAGAGCTCTTGCTGTCACTCGGAACGTCCAGTCTCTGCCGAGCTACCGCTGATCTGACTCCGCAGGCCCGAGCTATGGGTGCGCCGCGGCTCTACGGACCGCCGGCAGAGAGAAGCAAGCAGCTTCCACGCCGTGGCCATCTGTGCGGTCGCAGCGTGCGTGCCCAGCCCAGAATCGCACAGGTCACAGCCGCTGATCAGCATGCAGATTTTGGCGGCAATATCAGCAGCGTAGAGGCAGCAAGCAGCTCGGCACGCTGCGAAGATGCGCGAGCGGGCTAGCGAGAGGGTCCAGATTTGATGCCGCGTTGATGCCGATGCAGGACCGCCGCTGCGGTTTGCAGCCCACGAGCAAGCTGTAGCATCCAGCACGCAGGATGGCAGACCGATAAGCTTCGACTCGCAGCAGACCGACAGCTGCAGCCGCCAGAGCGCCGACAGCCCAAGAGGGCGGCATGGCGAGGTGCAGCGCAGCAGCCGCGAGGGCGGAGCACGCTAGCGAGCGAAGCTTCCGAGGGATCGTCACGCACGCGCCCTTCGCATGCTGCATGCTGCTTCTGCTTCCCGTCTTCCACGCATCTCAGCTACGAAACCTCAAGCGCCGGGAGCCGCTTCGCTGTCGCCGCAGCTCTTCTGCACGTCTGCCGCGCAGGAGAGCGGCATCGCATGTCACGCGCAGCGAACGGAGACACAGGAAGAAGGCCCGCCGCCCGCCAGCCGCTCGCGAGCTCGGATCTCGATCCCAGCCATCACTAGCCTGCAAGACTATGGCGCTACGCCTCGCGGCTGAAGGTGATCGACGGCTGCTACGCCTTGCTCGACAGCAGCGGAAACCGCGCCGGCGACACAGCGGCAGCTGACGTCCTCTCGCGCACGGAACGCCGGCTGTGTGCCACTTCCTCCATCTCTTGCCTCGCTGCGGATCTGCCTGCCCGATGGCTGATGAAGCATCCTCGTCGGTGCCTGTGCGTCATGCGCCGTCGGCCGATGCCCTGCCTCTCGTAGTAGCCGCCGCAGCTTCTGCTTCCGCGCGCGCCGCTCGAGGCTTCCGACCAAGTGGCTGCCTCGGAGCGTTTCCACACCGGCCTTCCTTGAGCCATCTAGCATCACAGCCCTCGTCGATGCCTCCTCTACACCTCGTGCGGCTGCGACCTTCGATGCGCTATGGCTCTGCGGCGGCAAATAGGTCTCGCTGCGGCGCCTGATCATCAGGCTTTCGCGTTTGCTCCTGTCTGCCGACCAGCGTCTAGTCAGCCGCCAGCTGGCGCAAGGCCGGCTGTGCCTCCCCTCTACAGGCCGCTCTGTGCACCTCTGATCACCTGCCGGCTGCTGCAGCCACAGGACGAGCTCGCGCATCGGCGGCCGACCGACCTCGCTCGGCCCTCACCCTTCCTTCCTCGACCACCTCCTCACGACGCCGGTGCGCGCCCAGGCGAGCGGGTTCACCCCTCTCTGAGTCTCAGCTCCTGGACAGGAGCAGCGCTCCTCTCCCCAGCAGCAGCGCTCCTCTCTCCACCTCGGCCGCAGGTGGGGCGACCCCTCCTGTGCGCCTTCTCCTTCTTCGCCGGCGACTCGACGCCGCGGCTCGGCGTTCCGGTCGTCGCCTCATGACGCCCTCCTCTTCGCGCCCTCTCGGCTCCGGCACAGAGCGCTTGCGCCCCTGACTCCTGAGCCTCTTGTTCGAGCGCGCCAGCGCAGCAGCTCCACGGGCCATCTCTTCGCCGCTCAATCGTCTTTCGCGCCCGAGGCGAAGTAGACCTCAACGCCCGCAGCCGCATTTGCAACACCCTATTCAACAGCGCAATTCATCAGAAGAGCACGCTCGCATCTCACACGAGCGCCGAGTCTGTTCACAGGACTTGATAGCGCTTGATCTTCGATCTCGCTCCTCGAGCTCCACGGAGGCGGCGGTAGCAGGCGCTCCCCTCACCCTCTTGGTGGTGTCCCGCCGCCACTCGAAGGGAAGACGACCGATCCGAGCCCGCCGCCACGCAAGCGCTGCAGCTGCGGCAACGAGGACCCGGCCGGTCAGCACCCAGGCTCTGTGCCGCCTCGGTGCCGCCCACCCGCTGCTCGCCTGCTGTGTCCCGATTTGGGCTGTACAAAGCTGTGCTGCCAGCACGACAGCGAGGACAAGCCGCGGCCCGCGGGCCAGCACGGCGACGAGCGACACAGCAGGCCGAGAGTGTCTGGCCGGCGGCCTCGCCTCGCCTCCCGCCGGCTGGCGCGTACCGCTGGCACGGCCGCACCCCTCTCGCTCGTCGACGCTTTGTGCCTGGCAGCCCTTCGCCCACTCTGGCGCAAAGGCAGCTGATCTGCCGCGCTTCGAGGCCGGGAGACGCTTCATTTGTCCTCGCTTCAGGCGGAAGGTGACAGCGTGCATATTGTCCTCGCTGTGCGCTGCTTCTGCTCGCTGCCCGTGCGCTTTTCCTGCTTCCCTCTCTCCCTATAAGCAGCGCAATCCCGCCGAGCGAGGCCCTTCCGTCTTCATCTCATCAAGCTCCCGTGCTCTCTCGCTCGCTCTCTCACTCCGACAGCTCCCGTCACTAGAGCGGCAAATAGGCGTCTGGCTGCTACCGCCTTTTCTTCGCACTCTCGCACGAACCAGGCCGTCCGCTATCGTCGTGGGTGAGTTGAGCACGACGATCATGAAGCGAGATCGACCTGCTCATCTCTTGCGTATGCACAGACCGCGCCTCCCATCACCCTCGCCCTCGTCTTCACGTCACCTCAGTCTTCTCGCGCCAATGTCGACCTGGAGCGCCGACGTGCACAACCCTGCCAACCTCTCGCCGACGAGCACGGCCGCGACGCTGCCTCCGCTGTCGTCGAACCATCTCATGACGCAAGGCTGGCCTCAAAGCAGCGGCAATGCGACGCCCAACGCGCACTCTCAGAGCGGCAACGGCAACAGCAGCATGCACGGCTCGGGCGGCTCGACTCATGAGCGCTACCTGCCCATGGCGCTGCAGCCCAACAGCGCCGTCGGCCCGCCCGGCGCAGGCAACTCTTCGCCGGCGTATGCGCTAGGTCCACCGGCGATCCAGCCGTCCGGCATGGCCATGTCGCCGTCGGAGCGCAGCTCTGGTGAGACGTCTCGCTTCGCCCACTATCCCGGCGACGTGCATGGATCAGCGCCGGCACGCGACATCAAGACGTCCGGCTCGACGGGCAGCTGGAACGGCACGGAACAGGCGACGTCGCCCGTCCTCGCGGCGCATGCTGAGCAGCAGCAGCAGCAGCAGTCTTCGGGCATGGAGCACGGCTACAGCGGAGGCCATCACTCACAGCGCTCCTTCGACTCGACAACCAGCAACACGGCGTACGGCTCGATGCACGCACACCAGCAGACGCTGCCGTCCGTGCCGTACGGCAAGCATCGCTACAGCGCTCCCTCGACCGTGTCGGGCCAGCACGGCGGCTATGAGCGCGGTCTCTCGCCGCAGCCACAGGGCTACAACGGCAGCGACCCGGACTCTCCTCGTACCGGACTCGCCGGCTCGACGTCGTTCGGCTCGTACGGCGCCGTGCGTGGCGTGCCGACGAACACGTATCAGCATTCGGCCAAGCCCTACGCTCGTCCGGCGTCGCCGACGTACGGGCAGATGGCGAGCCACGGCAGCGCACACCAGCAGCACTCGATCAACATGGCCGGCAGCACCTCGCACGCCTGGGGCACAGCCACGGGCGCCGATGCACACCAGACGGCACATGCTCCCTCAGCTGGACACGGCTACTACGGCGCGCCACTCGCTCAGCCGCGCAGCGTGCTGCAGATGTCTAGTGCGCCGACGTACAGCAGCTACGCAGGCCATCACGGCGTGCCGCTCGAAGTGCCGCAGGGCTACTCGAGCGTGCCCTCGTACCAGGCCGCACAGCCGAGCGTCAGCGTCGTGCCGGACCCCTACGGCAACCCGTCGGAAGTTCGCACACATTATTTCAACCCCTTCGAGGTGAAGCACCGCCGCCGCACGACCAAGGCGCAGTTCAAGGTGCTCGAAGGCACGTTCCAGGGTGAGTGCGAGCGGAGACAGCGCCACTGCAGCAGCTACTCACCGTCTCGCAGAGACGCCAAAGCCGACGGCAGCTGCGCGCAAGGAGATCGCAGAGCAGCTCGGCATGCCGATCCGGGCGGTGCAGATCTGGTTCCAGAGTAAGTGGCTCAGCAGCTGGCCGTCCCACGCTGCGCTCATAGTGTCGCTCGACAGACCGGCGCGCTAAGGCCAAGGTGCTTGCGCGAAAGGAGGCCGAGAAGGCAGCCGAGCAGCAAAAGGAGCGCAACGGGAGCGGCTCGGGCGAGCAGCGCAGCCACCTGGCGGACCGCAAGCACAGTGCCAGCAGCAGCGCCGGCGGCGGCGGTGGAGTGGGTAGCGCAGGCAGCGGCAGCGCGAGCGCCAGCGCCGGCGGTAGCCACCAGAGCAGTCATCAGGAGAAGCGTCGTCCCGACGACTCGCCGGAGCACTCTTCGAGCGCCTACCACGGCCACCACGCACCTGCGTCGCACCACTCGACGCACGCGCATCCATCGATGCACTCGTACGGCCACAACTACGGCCATCCGAGCTCGCATGCGCACAGCTCGGCGCACCAGCAACACCAACAGCAGCAGCAGCAGCACTACGGACCTTCCTCGTCGTCGACGTACGCCCATCACCATGCGCAAGAGGAGCACCACGACCGCATGACGCACGACATGCTGCCGCGCTACAGCAGCGGCGTGTACGAGCCGACTGAAGGCAGCAACTGGCGCTCCTGAGCTGTCTCCTCTCGTCTGCGTCCGGGGCAGGCGCCTCACCCTCCCTCTAATGCTTCGTCGCTGTCGGAAGCACCCCTTCGTCACCTTCCTCCATCTCGACGTGTCACCCTCTCTGCGCCTGTATCTTCGCCCTCTCTGTCAAGGTAGACGTTCCTCGTTGATGCACGCTACCCTGCTCCCTCGCCCGTGGTGCACACCTCGTGCGCCTGCATCGCTGCGAGCCGACTGGCTCCATGCTGCCTCTGTGCAGGCATAGGGGTGAGAGAGTCGAGAGCGTGGGAGCAGCTGCAGCAGCGTCGGCTAAACGCAGCTGCGATGCCCGCGCATCGTCCGATCCCCGCCCCGCCCGTGAGAGATGCCAAGACCTACGTCTCAGCCCGCGAGTCGGCCGAGGTTGGCGATCACCGCTGCCGCATGTGCGCTGCACGCCTGTACCTGGGCTGGCGGCCGCGGCGCTGCTCGGCGAGGTGGCGCTCGCAGCTCTGGGTCTCATCGCCTCGACGCTCCGCCTACCTGCTCTGCCGCGCGACGGACGCCGAGCCTTGCCTTGCCCGCACGCCTGATCGGCTGCTCGCGCGCCGCAGGCCAAGGTGTGGGTGCTCCTCCCCAGCAGGCAGCGGCAGCCAGCGCAGCTCGCATCAGCAGCCGTAAGCAGAGCATCTCGGCTGCTTCTCTGTGCGAGGCCGTCTCGTGCGACAAGGCGCATGGCCAGCCGCAGCCTGCCGGAAGTGCGGACGGCAAGAGTTGCGCGTGGCGCCATATCTGCACCCTGCACCTTCGAAGCCACAGCGGCAGCGATGGCGGCGCGGGCGAGGCTCGGCCTGCGCGTGCTGCCGCGGCAAGCAACGCGCAGCAGCATGAGCGCGTGACAGGCCGGCCGAGCGAGGACGAGGAGAAGCATGAAGGCCTTCACTTTGCGGTGAGAGGGACAAGGGAGGCAGCGGCAGCGGGAGCGGGCCGCACCGCATGCTCCATGCTGTCATGCACACGCTTGATTGGCGCGAGGAGAGGGAGAGAAGGAGCGGCTGCGGGCGTCGCGGTGCCGACGTCGGGAGGAGCACCGAGGCAAGCGCGAGAGCGGCAGCGGCCGAAAGGCACGAGAGGGGCAGCCGATGGCGCGGCGCCGTGGGAGAGGATCGCAGCTCAGACGCGATGCCACGCCGCGACCCTGCACCTCGCAAGGCGACGGCACCTCGACGGCACCACGGCAGCCTCGAGCTTGTCGGGCTGCGCTGCACAGCCTGCCTGATGCTGGGAACGCCCGCGCCGCTGCTGCTCCACCGCCCGAGGCTGCACCGCGGCCGCTGCAAGGTGGAGCGCTCCGCTGCTGCGGCGCCCTTTGCTTGCCGCGCCTGAGCACGCGGGCATGCACGCTGCGGCTGAGGCGCATGCTGACGCGGGAAGGCGCCTAGGCCGCAGCCGCTCAGCAGCAGCAGGCAGGCAGCCGAGCAGCTGCGGAGGGAGGCTGCACCTCTGCTGCACGCTGCAGCTGAGCTGGTGCCTGCCGCTGGGCTGCGGCGCGGCGCGTGACGACGACGACGACGGCGGCCCAGCATCAGGCAGCCCAGCAGCCCGGCGGCCCGGCTCCTCTCTGTCCTCCAGCTCGCCGCCGAGCACTCGCCTCTCGCGCTCAGCTCCTTCCACCTCTCTCACCTCACCCACCCTCGCCACTCTTCCCGCTTCTCGCACAGGCCCGTCCTCTGCGCCGCCGCCATGGCCAACTGCGGCACGCCCGTCGCCGTGTCGACGCTGTACGCGACCAGCACCGACTTCTTCACCTCGACATCCACGCAGCTCGTCACCGCCGAGGCCAGCGGCACCGGCGCCGGCAGCGTCAGCACCAGCACCGTCCTCGTCACGGGCTCGTCGACGCGCGTCGTGCCGACGTCGACCGTCTTCTCCACGCCGCCGTGCACCACTGCGGCGCCTCAGACTTCCGCGGCGGCCAACCCCACCTCCGCCGCGCCGACGTCGACCCGCGCTCCGGCTGCGTCGAGTGAGAGGCCCACCACCTCCACTCTCGTCGCAACAAGCCTGAGCACGAGCAACGGCAATGTCGTCCAGGTGACGGTCACGCAGGTCGTCGTCGGCGCCGGACCCTCGTCGACCGTCGTCTCGTCGAACAACGGCAGCACGGGGCAGACCGTCGGCAACTCCTCGAGCGGCGGCGGCTCTTCGCGCGTCGGGCCCATCGTGGGCGGCGTAGTGGGCGGCGTCGTGGCGCTGCTGCTGGCGGCACTCCTGGCACGCTGGTTCATTCTGCGCAAGCGCCGGGCGCGCGACTCGGAGAAGCTCGATGCCTTCTTTGGCGATGTGAACGTCTCGCGCGGACACTCGCTCGATGGCTCTGCTAATGGCGGTGCGGGCGGTGGCCTCGGCGAGAGCAAGCTCTCGGGCGATGGCGTCGCGCAGGCGCGCCCGCCGCAGCCGTGGGGCTCTCCCTCTGCGGCTCCGGCGATGAGCGAGGCGGGCTACGGAGCAGCAGGATGGGGCGCACACGATGCGGCACAGCGCGCGTCGGGCTACTACGGTCCGTCTACGCAGATGCACTCTGCTGCTCCCGGCATGTACCCCGAGCAATCCGGGTACGGCAACGTCGCGCGCAACCCGAGCGGCAGCAGTGCGCACGCCAACCACGTCGCGCAACAGGCGTACGGCGTCGCAGCTGGCGCCCTGGCAGCAGCCGGCGCCGGCGGTGCAGCCGATGCATACGCACACAACTCGGCGCCCAACACGATGGGTCGCAATGCGGGCAAGCACAACTCCGGCGGTCGACCAGTCTCTGGTGGCGGCCTCGGCGGCGGACGCACTTACAGCCAGAGCAGCGGTGGTGAGCGCTCCCACCCTGGCTCGCCGCAGTTCGCACCGCATCGCGCCATTTCACCGCCGCCACGACAGCCCAGCAACTCGCCGCCTCCGCAGCCCGGCATGTTCCCGCCCTCGCGCTACGGGCATCTCGATGTCGGCGTAGCACCTGCCGCCGGCGGTTCTCCGTCCTCTCAGAGCCCCGGCATTTCTCGCGAGGCATCTCTCTCTGCCATGCCCGCGGCCGCTGCCTCAGCCTCCGCTACGCCCCCCACTCGTTCAGTGTCGGGCGATGCCTCGCGCGACTCGGTGCAGGCTTATCAAGCCTCGATGGCAAGACAAGCGTCAGAAGCTCTTGTGGCCTCCAAGTCGCCGCCGCGACGAACGACGAGGACCGCAGATGACGATGGAGACGTGGCGGCGGAGCGTGAGGCCGCCGCAAAGCTCTGGGGCGCCCATCGCGGACTGCACGTCGCCAATGGCGCCGACGTCCAGACGCCCTGAAGCATCCCGCGCCGTCTGCTCCTCCCGATCTTGACCGTGTCGCTCCGCTCTCGCACGCGCGCATTCGAGGCTGCATTGCAATCATGCGCCTCTGCGCTCTCCCTCTCCACGACCGATCGATCCGTCTCCTGTCGACTCCGCTTTATCGTCTCCACATGCTGTACAATTACAATCGCTGCGAAGGCCGTTCGCCTCGCCCTTGCCTCTCTGTCCATCCCATCGCCATACGATCTTATCACACGTCGCGCCGCTCCTCCCTCAGCACTCCCTTTTCTCCCTTATCTGCTGTTCTCTTATTCTCTCTCGCCGTTTCGCCGTATAGAATGCGATGCAGGCACGACGATGCGCAATGAAGCATGATCGACATGTGTTCCCTTGCCGCGTGAACACCGTGCAGTCACGTTGCTGCGAGAGACAAGGCGCGCGGATGCTGGCAGCCCGGCGGCGAGCGGAGAGCGAAGGGCGACGAGCAAGAGCACTTGTAGCTTGATGCGCACACGGCAGTTGCGCCGCCGCAACGAGACTTGTGTGCGGGCCGGTGCGCGCCAGACTGGCGCTGACGCCGCAAGTCGGATTGCCGGGGACGGGATGGCAACGTCCCAGATGCAAGCGCAAACCGCCGGGTAGCAGAGCTTGGCGCATCGGCGCGGCCGACGAGCAGCTCGTCGAGCAAGCGGCAGCTGGATCAGGCTGCTCGAGCTGCAAGCCTGGGAACAGAGCAACTCGAGGCTGCGTCCCGAGCTTTCGATGTGCCGATGGCGTGATCACCCGAGCGGGTCTGCAGTGTCGCCACTTCGCCGGCATGCTCGAGAAGCCTAGAAGAGGGGCCCCGACGGCGGCGCGTTGCTTTGATCCTTGGCGTCGAGCGCGGCAAGATGGTCGACGAGCTCGTCCATCGGGCCTCTCGGCTGCTGCGTCGCCTGTTCCGCCGCCCGCTGCTGCTGCTGCTGCTGCTGTGCGCGCGGAGTCGGCACCAGCACGGCGCCCTGGCCCTGCTCGTCCCATCCGGGCGCCAGGCGATGCAGCTCGGCGCGGCGCGCCGCCTCGCGCCGCTCGCGCTCGGCGACGATGGCGCGCTCGAGGGTGAAGGGATAGACGAAGTAGTCGGCGAGCGAGGGCGGCAGAGGGTGCAGATCTTGAGGTGCGGCGATGGGCGGCGGGACACGCAACGAGGGGTCCTTGATGAGCGGCACGTGGGCCGAGGGCCCGTAGAGGATGGGCACGGAGGTGGACATGGCGGCGGTGGTGGTGGAGGGAGGGAGCGATGCGGGGTGCGCAGCTGCGCCCGTGCCCTGGAGCTGGCGGCGGCGGGGAGTCGCGATCCGGCACGCCGGCCGCGGGGCGCCCGAAGCAGCAGCAGCTGCCACGACGATAGGCCGCGCCCTCAGCTCGCAGCTTGTCACTCGACCAGCACCTCGCTCGCGTCCATCTGGCAGCGAGAGCCAGCACTTGCGCACCTCATTCTCACTACATGCGCCTCGGCCCGTCCTTCGGCCGCACCTCTCTCGCTCTCCGCTCGCTCCGCCCCTCTCCCACTCGCACGCTCCCGCTGCGTCGCCTCGCACGGCCCACCCTTCTCGCCTCGCCTCCCTCGCCGGTGCGCTTCGCCAGCATGGCCTCCGTGCCCTGGATCCCGCCGGCGCCCGGCTCCATCCCCGCGCCGCCGCGGCCCGAGTACGCAGACCGGCACACGCAGGGCAACATTGCCGATGTGCGCTCCACGCACCTGCACCTCGACTGGCGCGTCGACTGGGAGGCAAAGACGCTTGCCGGCAGCGTCGAGCATACCCTGCTCGTGCTCAAGAACGGCACCGACGCGCTCGTGCTTGACACTAGCTACCTCGACATCCAGCATGTCGACGTCGAGGGGCGCAAGTGCGACGCCTGGAAGCTGGCGGAGCGCAAGCCTGCGCTGGGCAGCGCACTGACCATTCCCATCGGCAAGCGCAAGGAGGGCGACAAGCTCAAGGTGCTCATTCGCTACAGCACTACTGCCAAGTGCACTGCGCTGGGCTGGCTGACTGCTGAGTAAGTGTCTTGCGCCGAGGCGCTCAGGGCCAAGCCATCGCGCCTGGGAAGACGCGCCGAGGACAGACTGGGCAGCAGTCACGGCGATGACGCCTTCATTGACTGACAGAGCACTCCTCGATCCAGGCAGACGGAGGGCAAGAAGATGCCGTTCCTCTACTCGCAGTGCCAGGCGATCCACGCACGCTCCATCGTGCCCGTGCAGGACTCGCCCTCTCACAAGCTCACCTACACGTCGCGCGTGCAGTCTTCGATTCCCATCCTCATGTCTGCGCTCGCCGCCGGTCGCATCGAGGCGACCGAGACGCACCCCGGCGACGCCGTCTCGGGCGAGCTCGAGTCGGGAGAGAAGGTGTATGAGTTCAAGCAGCCCATCGGCATCCCGAGCTACCTGATCGCCATCGTCGGCGGTGACCTCGTCTTCTCCGACTTGGGCCCTCGCGTCGGTGTCTGGGCCGAGCCGCCGATGGCCAAGCGTGCGGAATGGGAGTTCAAGACCAACGCCCATCGCTACCTCACTGCTGCCGAGGAGACGATCAGCCCCTACTCATGGAGCCGCTTCGACTCCGTCGTCCTGCCGCCGAGCTTCCCCTACGGCGGCATGGAGAATGCGAACCTCACGACGCTCACGCCGAGCTTGATCTGCGGCGATCGTTCGCAGTGCGATGTGCTGCTGCACGAGCTGTCGCATAGCTGGTCGGGCAACTTGACGTCGTGCGCGACGTGGAGCGAGTGAGTCACAGCCGCACTGGAGCGCTGCCCAGCTGCCTCCGTCTCATGTTCCGCTCCACAGCTTCTGGCTCAACGAGGGCATCAACGTCTGGATCGAGCGTCTGCTCCTCTCCATCGTGCACGGCCCCGAGGCAGGTCCGGCGCATCGCGGCCTGAGCTACATCATGGGCTCCAAGGCCCTCGCCGATGCCTTTGATCAGTTCAAGAACAACACGCGCTTCCGCCGCCTCGTTCCCGTCTATCACGCAGGCGAGGATCCGGACGATGCATTCTCCAGCATTCCGTACGAGGCTGGCTCAAACCTGATTCTGCATCTTGAAGATCTCGTTGGTGGCCTTGACCTCTTCCTTCCGTGAGTTTCTCGCGCCGTGTTTGATGCGAAGACGCAGGGCCGCTGACGGCAGCGCGCGACCACGCAGCTTCATTCGCTCGTGGTTCAAGACCTTCTACGACCGTTCCGTGACGACGCAGGAGTTCAAGCAGCATCTGAGCGACTACTACGCGAGCAACGAGGAGATCAGCAAGAAGATCAAGGCGATCGACTGGGATGCTTGGCTGCATAATGAGAGCGGCAAGCTGCCGGTCAAGATGGAGTACGACGACACGCTCGCTGTGCAGGCGTTCGCACTGGCGGAGCGGTGGGAGAAGGTCAAGGGCAATGACACGGAGGGCTTTGGCAAGAAGGACATCGAGGTGAGCCCGTGCGCGCGAGAGCCTGTGCGCGCTGTGGCTGACGCTCTCGCCGCACTAGGGCTGGACGAGCGACCAGAAGGTCGGTGAGTACACATCAGCGCCCACAGCTAGCTTCATGCGCTCAGACATCGCCATCAGTCTTCCTGGAGCGGCTGCACCTCGGCCCGCACATCAGCGCAGAAGTCGCCTCGGCGCTCGACAAGCACTACGGCTTCAGCTCCGAGACGAACGGCGAGATCCTGCTGGCGTTCTTCCTTGTGGCGCTCGAGGACAAGAAGACGCAGTACGCAGAGAAGTGTGCGGCCTGGGTGCCGACGGTCGGCCGCATGAAGTATGCGCGCCCGCTGTACCGCTCGCTCTTCCTCATCAAGCCGGAGCTTGCGCGCGAGACGTTCGTCGCCAACCGCACCTTCTACCACCCCATCGCCGCCGCGCTGATCGAGAAGGTGAGTTCGCTACCCACATCCCTCCTTGCTCGTGCCGTGTCCTCAACGCGCCGTCTCCACTGCGCAGGATCTCGGACTCTCTGCTTAGACACCCTCTCCTCCATCCTCCTGTCTCTCTCTATTATCACTTGTTCAGGACCTCGGCCTCAGCTCAATGTCAACTGTAAAGCCATCGCGGCACGTCGTGACCATCATCGGCTCAACGGGCACGGGCAAGTCGCAGCTGGCCGTCGAGGTGGCGCAGGCTCTGCAGGCGCGAGACGGTCGCTTCGGCGCGTACGACGGCGCAGAGGCCGTCTCGGCTGACAGCATGCAGATGTATCGCGGCCTCGACGTCATCACGAACAAGGCGACGCGCGAGGAGATGCAGGGCGTCAAGCATCACCTCATGGACTTTCTCGAGCCCGGCGAGCAGTACACTGTGGGCGAGTTCGTGCGCGAGGCAGGCGCGCTGGTGAGCGGCGCTTCGGCTTCCGTCGGCAGACTCCAGAATGCTGACGTGCGCCTGGCGACAGATCGAGTCGTGTCATGACGAGCGCAAGGTGCCAATCGTGGTTGGCGGCACCACGTACTACGTTCAGCATCTGCTCTTTCCCGGCCGGCTGGTCTCGCTGCAGCGCAAAGACGAGCAGCGCTGGAGCGACGACGAGGAAGCTCCGCCGGCGTTGAGCGCCACTGCCGCCGCTGCTCTGCAGCAGCACTTGTCTGTCCTCACAGAAGAGCAGCAGCAAGCATGGGCGGCGCTCGCCGCCTCGCGTCCGGGTAAGCTGCCAGAGCACGTCGGCGACGCGGCGCTGTGGGGCCTCCTCGACACGCTCGATCCCGCCATGGCTCGGCGCTGGCACTGGCGCGACACCCGCAAGGTTGGGCGCAGCCTGCGTGTCCTTCTTGAGACGGGCCGGCGTCACTCGGAGTGGATCGAGGAGCAGCAGCGACAGGACAGCTCGAGCAGGAGAGCTGAAGCCGTCAAGGACGCCGGCGGCGCCGCGGCTAAGCATCTTGTGCTGTGGGTATGGTGCGAGCCTGAGACGCTGCAGAGACGCCTGGCTGCCCGAGTCGGAAAGATGGTCGAGGTGAGGTCGGCTGTCTGCCTTGGCACAGAGCGGGGCTCACTCTTTGCAACATCAGCGCGGCCTGCTTGCCGAGATCCAAGAGCTGCGGACCAAAGGCGCCGACGTCGACTACACTCGCGGCATCTACCAGGCAATCGGTGCGTCCACTCTCTTTCTGCGGCACGCCTCTGCCTTGCGCTGACACATCGGCAGGCTACAAGGAGTTCGCCTCATTCCTGGCGCACTGCGACGGCGGCAGCACCGACGACGCCGAGGGCAAGCGTCTCTTCGCCCACGCGCTCGAGCGCATGCAGATCGGCACGAGGCAGTACGCCAAGTACCAGACCAAGTGGATCCGCAACACGCTCGCGCCCGAGGTCGCCGAGGCGGACGAGGTCGACTTCTTCTTGCTCGACGCCACTGGTGAGTGACGTGAGCATGCCGTGCTCAGTGACGCAGACTCATGCCGTCCATGCAGATCTGTCCAGGTGGAAGGAGAACGTTGGCGGCCCGGCGCTTGACCTAGTCTCGAGTGAGTCGCGTCGCTGATCAGCAAGCGTTCGTCTTGGCTCACGACGCTCTCGCAGAGTTCCTCAACGACGCGCCTCTGCCCGATGCCCGCAGTCTCAGCGCTGCAGCAGCCTCACAGCTCCCGCAAGCACCGCGCTCGCTGGCCGATCCGCTCGGTCGCAACGCCATGGAGGTGTGCACGGTCTGCACCAAGGACGCAGCCACGCCCGTACTTGTGCGACTGGACGACATGCAGGCGCACATCCAGACGCGCTCGCATCGCCTTGCCTCGCGCTCGACACAAAGAGCGGCACCGGATCCAGAGGTCGTGGCGCGGAAGCGCGAGGAACGCAGACGGGTGCGCGAGGGCCTGTTGACGGCACAGGCAGAAGAGCAATGACATAGTGAGAGCGTGAGAGCATACATTGAGGGGACTCGTTGCAGAAGTGCGCCTCGAAGAGCTGCGGACCAGACGGTGTGTAGATAGCAACAGCGAGAGTGCAGGAAAGGACGATTCATGCGAGCGCAAGAGAGCGGGCAGAAGAGCGACGTGGGGCCGTGCATGTCGCGCTCACGAGAAGCGGCTCTCGAGGTTGTCTGCGAAGCGATCTGCAAGCTTGCCGGCGCCAAGGCGAGCCTCCAGGCCTCTTGCCTTCTTGCTACTGCTGCTGCGCGCCACTTCATCCTCGTCTGCCCATGCCAGGGCACTGCGCATCGCTCCTCTTCCTCGAATGCGAATCTGCCCGTTGTTCGTCGGCCGGACGGGCGATGCCGAGCGGGCCCGATCTGAGCGGAACTCCTCCAGCTCCTCGTCTAGCGCATCCAGTCCGCCTCGAGGTTGCGCCCTGCGCCCGCGCTGTCGTCCACCATCCTCGCGCTTGACGCCCTCGAAGCGATCGTGCCTCCACTGATCTTGAGCGGGCGCCGGCTCGGCCGAAATGCCCATCTTCTCCTCCTGCTCGCGCTTCACGCGCATCTCATCGAGCTCGCGATCCATATCGTCCATCATGGCACCACCCGCCAGGCCTCTGCCGCGCGCCTTCTTCTCGCGCACCTCGAGGAGACGTGGCACGACGTCCTTGCCTGCGCCTTTGCCGTGTTGCGCATACCACTTCGAGCTACTGGCTGCCTGGCTGCGCTTGTTGTCCGCACTGTCTAGCGCAAAGCGTGCAAAGAGTGGTGCACGCAGCGCGCGTAAAGCCACTTGTGCGGGCTCAGCAGCCCGCAGTGCAGCCTCTTCGGCTTGCATCTCGGCGTAGATGGCCGGTGCATCCTCGGGCAGCTCTTCTTGCGGCGCAGGCGCTCGTGCAGCCGCCAATGCATCGCGCTCGGCAGGCGTGTAGAGCTTGACGGGCACGGCGCGAGTGCGGCGAGGCGTGAGGAGAGCGAGAACGAACTCGTTTGGGATCTCGTCCTCCACTGGTTCGCTGCGCTCGTGCTGCTGCTGTACCCGTGCTGCGGCTTCGACGAGGCGCGCCTCCGGAATCGGGTAGGCCGGCGTGTACCAGGGCCGCGAGACGAGTTGCAGAGCGGAGAGCGCGGCAATCGCATTGGCGAAAACGACGACGCAGGACGAGTCATTGACCCACTCGAGACCGAGCGGTGCGGCGCCCCACTGCGTGATGAGCGCAAAGAGCCTGCTCGTGGAGAGCTGCGTGATCGGCGGGCCGGAGAGGTGCAGCGCGGAGAGACGCACATCCAGCCCACCGCCGATGGGGATAGGCACTTCCGGCGGCGTGAGGTCTGGTGCGAAAGCCGTCAGCCAAGACACGTACGGCGCTACCGATCAAAGCCGCCGACTGGCTCCGCGACAGTGCCGAGAGCTGCGAGCAGGGCCTACCCAGGCCCGTTCGCAGCCGTCTCACTGCAGCTCTGCTCGTGCACCTCACTCACCCTGCTTCTCCTCCTCTTCCTCCTCGCGCTCCACCTCGAGCTCCAGATGGGCAGTAGCTTCGCGCTGCGGCAGGGCATAGTACGAGGCGCCACGACGCTCAGCCTCCTGGCGGCGCTGCGCCTGCAGGCTGGCCTCTGCGGCGCTGCGCGGGCTCAGCGGCACCTCGGGCTCTTGCTCTGCGTCCTCGACAATGTCACCAACGACGAGCTGGTGCGAAGGCTCCTCGGAGGCGCCGTAGTCGAGCTCCATGGTGGCGTGTGTGTGCGGTAGGAGGTGGATGTGGTTGCTGGTGAGAGGACGAGGCCGTGTGGAGAAGTGTTGGCGGCGGGAAGTGGAGACGCGTGCCACTTTTGGCGGCATGACCACGGCGCTGCGCCACGCCGGACGCGGCGGCGCGCCTCCTGCCGAGCTCGCGTGCTGCGGCGCCTCTTGCTCCTCACAACCACCTCCTTCTCAGCGCAGCACATCAGGCACGCGATGATCATCTCAGACCCGCTCGTCGGCGCACACGCTGAATCAGGGCCGCGCTCACGCCGCATCGAGAATGGTCATGGCATCGTTACAAGCGGCGAGCGTGCCCTGCGCAAGAGCGAGATGGCGTGTAGTACGTGACCTGTCTGCGTCCCATCTCTCAGAGTCTCGTCATGGTGTGGTACATCAGGCCCACAGAGCGAGCACAGACTGGCGGACGGAGTAAGGGTCAGCGATGCACATGCATGGCGGCAGCCGGCGGCACGTACCATGGCGGCAGCACCAAGCGTGAGCGCAGTGACGGCGGCAATGGCGCGGCCCAGCGGCGCGCCCGACATCGTCTTATTGTTGATGAAGTCGCCGGCAATGAGCTCGACGAGCGCTGTTGGAGAATCAAGCGGTCAGCCACCGTGATGGGTCATCGGCCAGAATCGCGACGCACCAGTGTACAGCAGAATGCCGGCCGAGATCGAGTCGAGAATGCCAAGAGCCAAGAGCGTGGACCGGTCGTTGGTGTTGAAGGACCGACGCGCTCCAATGCCGATCGCAATGCCCACCGGCGTCGTCACGGCGTACGCTCCGCACATGATCGTCTTCTGCAGCCAGCCGGCGGTCGTCGAAGGCAGCAGCGCGATGCGAGCGCCGAGTGCGAGACCCTCGAAGAGTTGGTGGAAGGTGATTGCGATGAAGAGCGGCTGTGCAGACGAGTGAGTCAGATGCGAGGGTCTGGCATCTCAACGCGGTGCGACTCACCACCCAGCCCTCGCCATTGCTAGCGCCGAGCGTGACGCCAATGATGATCGAGTGGAAGATGATGCCCGCCTCGAGCATGAGCACGTCGTACTTGCGCAGCTTGGCCTGTGCGGCTGTGGGGACGTCCTGCGAGGCGACGTCCGAAGAGGCAGACTCGCTGTCGCTCTGCAGCTTCGACTCGGGGTCGTGCGAGCCCTGCGACAGCGGCCGCGACGCTGCTGCAGCGGCAGCGGCGCGCTGGCGAAGCGCGCGCAGCACGAAGACTTGAGTGATGGTCAGCCTTGGTAGAAAGAGGCGCGGAGAGGGCGACTCACAGTCAACGACAAAGACAAGCCACACGGCGCCCATGGCAATCGCAGGGCTAGCAGCCTCGTACACGAGCGTGCCGATGCACTCGTTGGACATGAAGATGAACGCGTGGAAGAGCAAGTGGACAAAGGCGGTCGAGAGGATGATGCCCGTGCCGAAGTGCTTGAGCAGGAAGAAGAGCTGGCCAAGCACGCTGGTGGGCGCGTCGCTCGGCTCGGGCTTGCGACGCAGGATGTTGGGCAAACCGGCACCGAGCGAGGCGGCGATGAGCAGCACGAAGACGGCGGCGATCTGCAGGCGGATCGACTGGTCGGTGTAGGGCGCAAGGCCGCAGCCGTACTCCTCGGAAGGACCGTGCGAGTGGCCGGCGTGCGAGTGGCCGGAGTGGTCATGCCCCGAGTGGTCGTCGCCGTGGTCGTGGCCAGAGTGGTCCACAGAGCCGTCGGCAAGCGGGCAGTCCCAGTGATCGCCGTGCAGCACGCAGTTCGGGATTCCTGTCGTTCGAGCGTCAGTGTGCTGACTCTCTCTGCCATCGGCGCAGCACTCACCAGTCGGCGACGGCTCGACGGTAACAGTGACTGGCGTGCCGGAGCGCGTGACGACAGCGACGGGCACGAGCGAGCCGCCAATGTTCAGCTCCGTGACGGGAGATGCCTCCTGGCGCCTAGCCATGGCGGCCGGCGTAGGACGTGGCGCCACATCCGCAAGCACGGTGGCCGCGAGGCTGAGCGTCAGCGTGGAGAGGAACGGGAAACGCATGCTTGAGAGATGGGAGGACGGTGGAGCTGGAAATCAGCCGTACTTCGCGGCCACCGATGCTTATATGGCGTCGGCCTCGCTCGAGAGGCCCACGCTTGCCGCTTCGGCCAGCTTCGGCTATGCGGACAGGGCCCCGGCGGACCGACCGGGTCCGGCACCAGCCGCAGGCGCCGGTGTACCCTTGAGGTGCGCAGTTCACTCTTCTCGTCAAGTTTACGCACGAGGCGCGGCAGTCCAGCAGCGCAACCTTTTTCCTTCACGTTCTCGAGCTCAGAGGGGGCAGCAGCATGCTGCGGAGCGGCGCTCAGGTGCTGCTTCCGGCACACTAGGAGCGCCAAGACCGACGACGCGCGCGCATGGATCGCTTTAGTGCATATGCTGCCCTGACGCTTGTTCTCCTGATGGGTGCCTGTCCGGCTGCTTGTGGCGCCGTGACCCGTGATGGGATCGCTGCGGCGAGATGCGGCGGCACAGCAGAGCTGCGGTGCCGCACCACGCGTGCGATTTCGCGCGACGCGCACGCATCTCCTCAAGGGTACCCTCGCGGTGGCGCGCCATCTCGCGCAGATGCAGCAATCTGCGCGCTTTCGCGCGCGCCAAGGGCCGGACGGGTCGCTGCACGTCTCTCGCAAATCGTGCTCAAGGGCAAGAAGCGCGGGGCGCTGCTCTCTTGACACCTGCCGCCTGCGCAGCCGCGGCCGTTTCGCCGAGCCTGCCGCCGCCACCTCTCCGTCCGCCTTGCGCCTGCTGCTTGCGCTCGCTGCCACGTGCGTACGCGACCGCCGGGTGAGGGTCGACGTTTGGCCGGCGCTCTTGTTTTCCTGCTCGACGCCGGGGCCTCCGAGCGCGCTACCGAACAGGTAGCTTGCGCTCAGATCGCCGAGGCTGCTCCGATGCTCGTCGAGACGAACAGGTCCTGAAGTGGCGGGCATGTAGCAGTGTGGCGTCGCTGTAGGGCAGACAAGATGCCCCTTGCGGCTCGTCCGCCAGCCGCCGGCCGGATCTCTGTCCGCATCTTTTTCCGGGCCGGAGGGCAGAGGGGCACCCTCTCTCCTGCACGAACGAACTTTGTATCGCAGAGGTGCCCAATGCAGCCACCAGCGAGACTTTGAGATGCATGCCAAGGACCGGTGAGGTCGATGTCTCTAGCGTCGGGCCCCCCTGTGAGTCGGACGAAGGTGTGCGGGTGCCTGGCGCCTGCGCCACCGTGCACCCTGCCGGCTGGGTCGCGCGACGTTCGGCAAGCGCCTGGAAGAAAGCTCCTCCTCGGCGTCCGCAGAGGTAGCGCATCCTCTACGCACCGTGGCTGCAGATTCTGTCTCGAGGGTGACGGATCTGCGGCTGGAGATATATAAGTCGAGCAGCGTGGAAGCAAGGAGACTGTCGCCCACCACCTCGCCTCACCTGTCTCTTCCTCCTCCCTCTCTTCACGACCCACCAAGATGCGCGTCGCTTCCCTCGCTCTCGCCGCCATGGCCCTTGCGCCCTCCGCGCTCGCTCTGCCCTTCATGAACTTCACCTCGCGCGCCGAGCACACCCACGAGCACACGCACGCCGCCGAGGAGTCGGGCGCCGAGTGGACGTACCCGATCCACGAGAGCTGCAACGGCAGCCAGTCGCTGCAGCTCAAGAAGACGCTGCAGGACATGGTCACGCTCGCCGACTACGCGCGCACCACGCTGCTCGACAACGGCGGCGAGGGAGAGCTGGAGAAGCAGTACTTTGGCGAGGGCGACATCGCCGCCGCGATTGGCTACTACTCGCGCATCGTGCGTGGCAGCGACAAGGTTCTCTTCCGGTGAGCAGCACTAGCAATGGCACCGCCTCAGCGCACACCACTCACCTGACTTGCACTCAGCTGCGACGACCCGGATGGAAACTGCCAGCTGACCGACTACTACGGCCACTGGCGCGGCGACAACGCCACCGACGAGACGGTCATCTGCGAGAAGTCGTTCCAGGGCCGTCGTCCGCTCGAGCAGACGTGCGGCTTTGGCTTCCAGCTCGGCACGGACAAGCCTTCGACCAGTGCGTGTGCCCCTCGTAGCACTCCTGCCGCGCCGTGCTGACTCCTCTCGCCTCCCAGTCTGGCCCGTCGATGTCCTCCACCGCGTCATGCACCTCCCTAGCATCGTCAGCGACCGCATCGCGCACGTCGCCGACACGTACGCCGACGTGCTCGAGCTCGCCTCCACGCACCCCGAGTTCGCCGTCTCGAACCAGCTGACGCTGCAGCTGTACGCCATCGACAGCTGGAGTCGCGCCAACGTCGTCGAGGGTGGATGTGTCGGCGCGATTGGCCCCGCCGCTGGCCTGACTCTGGACGGCGACGCGCACGGCGGATCGTCGTCGTCGACCTCGGCATCCGTCGCGCCGAGCTCCAGCTCGTCGGCTGCGGCTGCCTCGTCGACGTCGAGCAGCGCCGCCGCTGCGGCCCAGACGTCCGCGCCTGCGCCCGAGGCCGCGCAGCAGGGCGCCTCGCAGTCGGACTGCCACCTGCACGCCGACGGCACGGTGCACTGCGGTGCCCACTAGACGGCTCCCGTCCTCGCTCCGTTGCCCATATCCCCCATCTACTTTACAGCACCTCTGCCGCAGCCCTGCGCGCGTGAGATCCTTCGGCCGGTCATGACCTCGCGGCCCCGACGGCCTGCAATGCACCCCTGATGATCCACTTTCGCGTGTGCCCAGAGCCATGTAGCAGCCGTCGGATGCGAGAGGGTGGTGAGGGAAGAAAGCCGAGGCGCACGGCTGGCATCGCAGAAGAGAGACATCATGCGCAGCCGAGGCGCGTCGGCGTGACAGCCGCGCTAGCCGTGCAGCAGCGTGAGCCGCTCCTTCACACGCTGCCGCTGCCGACGACGAGGCACGCACTGCTTCTTCCGAGCAGCCGCCGTGCTGCTGCGTCCCGGACTCTCCACCAAAGGCAGGGGCCTACGGCTGCATTGGCGTGCTCACATGGTGTGCCACGGGCTCCGCACGGCGGGACCAGGCGCATGGGTGCTCGACCGCGTCCCTGGGCGGCTGCCGTCGTGTCATCACCGCGAGGCAGGGCCCGCCGTCGCAATCACAGGTCGCAGCTTGCATCGGAGCGAGAGCCTGCTGAAAGCGCCAGCAGCACGCTTGTGAGCCTCATGCGGCTGCGGCCGGCTCCGAACGGCGCTGCGGTTGGCGCAGCGAGGCCGAGGCCGCGGGCACGCGACGCGTTGCGAGACTCGCTCTCGCGTCGGGTGCTGATGGCCTCTCTCTCAGCGCGGATGCAAAGTCTCGTCGGTCTTGTGCCGCTTGAGTCGCAATACCGTGCAGCTCGCTCTCCTTCCTTTGTTCGTAAATGAAGAGGTCATCCCGATCCGCCCTGCCCGTTGTCTTCTGGCGAAATTCTCACCCTCTCGGCCTCCGGTCGCGCGATGTCTTCGAGCCTGGACAGCGGTGCGGTGCGCGTTGAAGTGATCATCTGGTGCCTCACGACGAACGAGCGGGCCACTCGTTGGGCGTGATTCGTATTTGTTGTACCTCGCTCCTGCTCCTCTTGCGCCTGCTCCTTTATCGCCATGCGCCCGCGAAGATGAGGGCGAGCTCGGTGGCCGGCCGATGGCTCTGCTGCGGCAGCGGAGCGCCGGCCCAAGCGCATCTGCATCACATGGAGCCCCCCGCATGGCGCAGGTGCAGCGCAGCGCGCAGAGGCCTTGGCCGAGGCGCAGCAGCAGGCAGCCACAGCGCCGCCGATGCAGGGATGCGCCGCCGCCGATGCCGCATGCGCTGCGCGGGCGCGGGCCATGCCGTGGTGATGGGAACGCAGCGGCGGGCCATCATGCGAGAGGGGTGCCGTCTCGCCCTCTCCTCTGCCTCGAGGCCGGATGCAGCTCGCCGAGCCAGTGTGCCTCCTCTCGTCTGTGCCTCTCGCAGCCCCTCGGTGCACCGAGAGACGGGCGACGGTGCTGATGGCGAGCTCGCCCTTCACGCCCAAGCTCAGAATAGCCTTGATGCTGCGTCGCAAGCTGCCCCTCTGCAAACTCATCGATGACGGACCTGCATCCGTCCTTGAGTGCAGCGCTAAAAGCACTTTGCGTGCGAGAAGGACACAGCGCGGAATTGCGAGCGTCGAGAGGAGCATCGCAGCCTCAGCATGCAGCCTCAGCGCCGCAGCAGCACGCCAGACGGAGGAGATCTCGACGAGCTCGGCGCTCGGCAGCGGACGCACTCGTCTTGCTGCCGGTGCCGCTAGCGCCGCGATGCGTTAGCGCGCGTGGGGAAGCGGCCGTAGCGCCGGGCTGAAGGTGCATCTTCGCACGCCCCCTCCCACGCTGCAGGCCGGGCGGCGCAGCGGTGTCCAGGCACGATGAGGGTGCGCCATAATCGAGGGGCCAGGCCGGCGGCTGATGAGGTGTGACGACGAGCGGGCCGGGCAGGAGCGCTGAGCAGGCCCGAGCGCCCCGGCCGATGCAGGCCAGCTGCGCGGCGGACTGCGAGGGCGCGGCGGCGGTGGAATTGGGCGCAGGCGGCGTGCAGGGCAGCTCGAGCCGGCGGAGCGGCGCGCCGGCGTTCTGTCTCTGTCTCTCCTCCGCCGCCTCCGCCCGCCGGCCGGCCGCATGCTGCTGTCGGCTTGGCACCGGCGGCCGCCTGCCCTCACTCTCGCGTCTCTCCTCTGCGCTTCTCTCCAGGCCCACCTCCTCTCCACCACCACCTGCCCTGACCGCTGGCTTCTGCATCCTCCTATCTCGCACCCAGATGCTCCGCCGCGCCCTGGCGAGCCTTAGCTGCTGAGCGCACCCGAGCGCCAGTCCTCTCGACTCCCACACCTCCTCTCCCTCTCTCCGGCGTCGATTTCTCGTCACTCTTGCGCGCGTGTGCTGCGCAGGACGCCTCCGCACCGTCGACTCTGCGGGCTTCCCTTTCTCCTCGGCTTCCGGTTCTCCCTCTCACCCTCTCTGCTCCCGGTCCACCCGCAAGCGCGCGTCGCCCACCATGTCGCACTTCGTGTCGCTGAGCGACAACAACCTGTACCGCATGTACGAGTTGCTGCCGCCGCCGCCACGGTCCCTTCTCTCGCGCGCTCCCGAGGGCATCCGCGGCGTGCTGCCCGACTTCAGCACCGCCGCCGACCCGGCAGGCGAGCTGCGCGAGTGGGCGCACCGCATCTTCCACTGGAACCTCGACTTTGCCTGGCCGCACTTCTACGCCGGCACGGCCATCATTGGCGTGCTTATCCTGCTCGTCGGCAGCATCTTCGCACGGCGTCTCTGGGAGCACTCGCTCTGGGTCGTGCGCTTCGTGCGCACGCCGCGTGGATGGCTCGCCATTCCGAATGCCATCATCAGCTTCGCCTCGGTACGTGCCTGCGCTCGCGGCCCGCCTTCTGCACACGCTGATGCTTCGCATAGATGACTGGCCTCTTTGGCTGCCTGCTCATCTCGCTGTTCTGGGTGTACTTCTGGTACTTCCACAGGGGCATCGAGAACGGGCGGCCCACGTACGCCGTGCTCTGGCTGTGTGTCACGTGGACGCCGCTCTTCTGGTACGTGTCGCTGCTCGCTGCAGAAGCCCTGCGCAGCCGCTGATTCATCGCTACAGCGCCGCGCATCTGGCATCCTGGGGTCTGTACCACGCCGTGCCCAACTCCTTCTCGTCTGCGCCGGGCGAGAACGAGGTGCGCGGCCCCTTCAAGCGGCTCCTGCTCAAGCCCGCCACGCTCAACATCTGCGGCGGCGTGCTGCCTTTCGTGCAAGCCGCCAGCGTCATCGCACCCGGCGTCGTGGCTCATCTGCAGTACGTCATTGCGCTCGACGACTACGACAAATGGCTTGCGCGCTACGGTTCGCAGACGGAGCTCAGCCAGGAGATGCTCGTGGCCGCCCAACGCATCTGGTATGCCCAGCTGCGCTCGATGAAGACGGCTTCGACGGCCTTCTTTGTCTGGGCCGCCTGGGCATTCGTGCTCTTCTTCGTCTACAGCATCCTCAGCTACCGCCTCATCTCGGTGCTCTGGACGCAGATCGCCGAGCTCGGCCGCATCCACGCCAACCACATGCGCCAGACGGTCCCGCTCAACGACGTCACGCCGACCTCGCCGGTAGGCACGCGGCAGAGCGTGCCCGTCATCTCCTTCTCCGACGACAAGGACGAGCGGGGGCCGACCAAGAGCGGCAGCGACGCCACGGGCTCTCATGACAACGAGCCGCGCCTCTCCGTCTCGACGGGCCGCGCTCCCTCGGAAGCGCCGCAGAACTTCTTCCCCTCGATGCGTCCATCGGCACTTGTGCACCGCACCGCGCCGAAGCACTCGCCGTCGACGAGCTCCAAAGAGCGTCGCTACCTGCAAGTCGTGCTCGTCCACGTCTGCATTCAGTCCTTTGCCGTCGGCCCTGCCATCCTCATCTTCGACGCCATCGCCACGTGGGTCGCCGCGACCATCTACGGCAGTAGCGAATGGCCCGAGACGGGCCTGGGCTACATGCTGGCGCGCGTCATCGTGGCCGCCTCGTGGACGTCGTGCATCTTTGGCACGCTCACGCTCGTGGCCATCTGGCAGCGCGTGTACGAGCCGTCGATGGTCTTTACGGGCCTCATCCGCGGCCAGACAGGCCCGCAGAGCAGCGACAAGGCCAAGACGGCACGCCGACGCAACGGCCGGCCGATCAGCCGCACTGGCGCGCCAGGCTCGCCGGCCGGCGAGACGGGTGCCGGCGGCATGCTCACGTCCCTCTTCGAGAGTGTCACCGTCGACCATGGCGCCTGCGACGCCACAATGCCGCGCATGCCCGACTGGCAGACGCGCAGCGCCATTGCGGGCCACACGCCGCACCGTCTCTCGGGCGGCGTCGATGAGGACGACGAGCTGAGCCAGAGCGAGCACGGCGTCATGTCCGTCACCTCTGGCGGGCGACACGGCAACACGCTCAGTGCCGGCGCCCTCTACCCGACGCCTGAGATTTACATGGAGCGCACCATCGAGACGGTCGTGCAGCACTCTCGGCCGCGCGGTGGCAGCACGTCGCTCGACCCGCTCACCTCGGTGCACGTCGATGACGACCTGGAAGCTGGCATGCTCACCAGCAGCGATGACGAGGACGGCCGCGGCTCTTCCTACTGGGGCTCTCGGCCCGCCACATCGCCGAACCCCAACGCCAAGGGGCGCTCCAAGTACTTTGCCAACGCAGGTCCGCGTCCTCACAGCGCAAACAATCGCTCGTTGAACGCACCCTCTAGCGCGCCGCCACGCAGGTCGAGCAGAGGCGCCCGCGTCGCCGTGCCGAGCTCGTCGTCGCCTGCTCTGCCCGTGCCGCCGGCGCCGACCCGACTGCGCAACCCGCTCGAGCCGGGCACGGCCATGTAATGGCGCCTCGCCCTGCTCCACCAAAAAGCGCCTACCTGGACTGCCTCGCCTTCTTCGTCACCGCCCTCGACACTCTTCGCTGCCCTCTTCCGCCCCCCTTTCAATGCGCGCGTTGGCCGCTACGTGCCTTTCTATGCCATTCCTAGTCACCGGCCTCGTCATTGACGGGGACACGAGCGTGCTCTCGCCATCAAGACGAGCCCCGTGTGCCCCGTACAGCCACCTCATCGTTACCTCCTTCACATCCTTGCTCGCGCTCTCGCCCACATTACCCCTCGCCGCTGCTCTCAGCCGCCCTCGCACTCATTTACCAAGCACCGACACACACACACACACTTGACCGAACACCACACACACACACATACTTCCCATCCCGTCTTGTCTCGCCGCAGCCCGCTCTGCCCCTGCTCCCCTCCGCCGACGCGCCCCAGCTTGCCGTCGATCCGGCCCACATGGCTCGATGCCAGCCCGCCGTGGGCCTGCGCTCCTGCCAATATATCAATTTTTATCCACTGCCTCCCTTGCAAGCGTGAGAGGGCACGAATGGAGGCCACTTGGTGCCTGACGTGCGCCGCTGGGATCGCCGAACGGTGCGCTGCGGGACCGAGAGGAGGCGGCTCGAGCGGCGCCAGCGCAGACGGCGGAGGCCGCGCGCGGCCCGCGGCACGTCGGCACGCCGCCTCGCCGCCTCGCTGAGCCGCCGGCTGGCTGGCCCCGCGCCGCCGGCGCCTTTTGAGAGAAAGGCTCCGAGGCGACGCGCGCCGCGGCCGTGTCGCCTGGAATGCCGCGAGACGCAGCGCCTCTACTCACCTCTGCCTCCTCCGCGCCGGGTGCATCAAGGTTGCATCCTGTTCAGCGAGACCCATCATGTCGCGCCTCTTTGCCCGCCATGGCGACGACGACATGGAGATGCCGTACGACGCCTCGCGCCACGGGCCCGACAATCGCCCGCCGTCCGCCGAGCGCATGGCCGCCATGCTGCACCACGACAACTGGTACACGATGCAGCGCTACGAGAACCGTGCGTTGTACCCCCCATGCCCAGTCGTTTGCCTCGGCGCGAGGCCGCTGACTCAGCATCATTGCTCGTGACAGGCACCACCTGGGTGCTCCTGGCCCTCATCGCCTTCCTCGCCGTCGGTCCCGGCCTGCTGCGTCGTCTGCGCGTCGCCAGGCCGCAACTGGCAGCCCGGCTGGTCTCGCGCCTGCCTGGATACTACGCTCTCGCCGCATTCTGTCGGCGCATTGGCTACGTCGAGCTCGGACACCTCGGCTTTGGTCTACGCATGCCTGCGCTTGGAGCGACACTCGTCATCGTTGTCTTCTCCGCCGGCATGTTCATCTGGTCGCTCGTCGTCAAGCCGTGGTATAGGCCGTCGCGCGAGTGGGGATGTGAGTGATCTTGTAGTGCCTGCCTTGGGCTGTGGTTGTCCAGACTGACGCCCTCCCTCTAGCGCCTCCTCTTGCGATTCGCACTGGTGAGCTCGCAGAAGCGACTGCGTCGACCGACGACGACTGACAGCTCCTCTCAGCGATGATTGCCAACGCCCTCATTCCGTTTCTCTTCGCGCTGAGCATGAAGGTCAACGTCATCTCCTTTCTCACTGCACTCTCACACGAGCGCTTGCAGGTAAGAGCCCGCCGGTGCGAGCGAGCGTAGCATAGGCTGACCTCGGCACGGCCGCAGGTGTATCACCAGTGGATGGCGCGCTTAGTCGTGAGCAGGGCCATCCGTCAAGGACATTTACTAGCGCCCTTTCGCTGACTTTCCACGCTAGCTTCTGCTCAGCGTGATGCACACCATTCCCTTCATCTGGCAGCCGCTGCACGATGCTGGCTACGAGAATCTCAAGGCCTGGTGGGACTCTGATGCGGTGACCAACTGGGTGAGTGACGAGCGGCGAGAAGCTTGGTGCAGCGCTCACGCCCCCCCACAGAGCGGCGTGGCGGCGCTGGCCATCATGGCCTGGATGGTCGCCAGCTCGACTCGGGTCTTCCGCAATATGAGCTACGAGTTCTTTGTCATTGTGCGTCCCCCCTTCTCCGTATCCCCCACGTCCCGCTTCTCCTGACGCATCGGGGCACAGCAACACATTCTCTCGGCAGTGTCCTTCCTCGGCCTCTACTTCTGGCACACCGCCAACGGGCTCAACTCGTGGATCTGGCTCTGGGCCACCGTGGGCATCTGGGGCCTCGCCACGCTGCTCAAGTGGTCTCGCTCGGCAGCTGCAAGCCAGTACTTTGTCAACATGCGTGCGTCCGTCGAGGTCGGACGGGCAGAGCTCGGCGCCGGAGGTGGCGAAGTGGTTCGCATTGCGTTGCGTACGCCCGTCAAGTGGGCACCGTGAGTTTGTACTTGTTGGGCCGGCAAGCTTGCCACCCCTGGCTGACGAGCAAAGCTGCTGTTAGCGGCTCGCACGTCTTTGTGCGCTTCCCCACCCTCGCGCCCTTGCAGAGCCATCCATGGACCATCGTGACGCTCTCCTCTCCCTCTCCCCATGCCGACTCTCAGCTCGTCCTCGTCGCTCGCGTGCGCGGAGGCATTACGCGCGTGCTCCATTCGCACGTCGAGACGCACGCCACCGACGATGAAGAGACGCTGCTGCGTGCCGACGACGACGACGGCGAGCAAGGCGGCAAGATGCGCACGAGCGCGTGTCTCGTGCCTGCCATCATCGACGGACCATACGGAGCGAGCTCGGCGGTGGTGCAGGCCTTCGACGAGGTGGTGATGCTCATTGGCGGCATGGGCATCACATATGCCCTCCCGACGTTGATGCATCTGGCGAGCGCGCGCAGCATCGTCACGCGCCACGTCTCGCTCGTATGGACGGTGCGCGATGCAGGTGCGTTTGTCTCGGAGCAGAAGAGTGGCTAGCGGAGAGAAGGAGGTGGCGCTGACGCAGAAGCTTCCATGCAAAAAGGCCTCATGGCTTGGTTTGCCGAGTATCTCGATTCCATCAGCGAGCGATTCGCCTCTTCAGCCATCACGTTCGCCTTTGAGCTCCACCTTACCGGAGCAGCGCAAGCCTCGCTCGCCGGCGACGGCGAGAAGCTGCGCCACTCCACGCGCCGCGTCGGCCGCCCCAACGGCGCCGCCCGAGTCGCGCAGGCGGCGCAGGAGGCGCGCGGCCGCAGCGCAAGCTCGCTGGCGCTGCTCGTGTGTGGCCCTCAGGGCCTCGCTGACGATGTAGCAAACGCCACGGCACGCCTGCAGGGCGAGAGGCGCGGCCTGAAGGAGGTGTACCTGCTCAAGGAGCATTATAGCTGGTAGCTGCGCCCCCCCCCCCCCCCCCGCGTCCCCTCCGCTCGCTTCCT